ACAATACAATTTATTACCGTACGGTCATTATTAATAATGAGTTATTAATACCCTAATCGACTTCAATTTGGGTATGCTGTGATAGAGTAGTGTATGTACGTTATTCTAACATAACAGCTTTATTTTACTGAATGTCAAGTGTGTGTTACCCTGACTGTCAGAGCAACGTAAAAGCTAGCTTGTTAAATATATACCTTGTGATGGAGTCGCTTTTACTAGCTCTGACGAACAGCGACAATCTGAGGGCATTCTTCTTCAAAATTTTGCCTGTGGCGCTTCCATATTTGGAAGTCACACGTCACAGCTGTGTCCGCCTTGATCCATATTTGGAAGTCATAAGTCTCGTACGTCACAGGTTTAACCGCCTGGAGCTGCCTTTCCCGCCTTGCGCTGACATAATCTCGTGCAGACGAGACAAGAATCAAAGTGTCTGACGCGGATTTAGAAGTTTGAATTGAAAATATCTTGCAGTCGAGGGTCAGTGTCACAATACAAGCAACATTCTGCTTTAAAAATTGGTTTTGATGTAGCCATTGCACAGCCCTTATAGTGGTATCGGGCATCCAGTGCAGCTGTCAAACTTGACACACGGCAAGCACGTGCATCAATTGTGTCTATTTTCTCAGAACTAAATGTTCTTTGATAAGCAAAAAATACAAAAACATTGGATATACCTTTTTCTTTTCGAAACATGTTATTTATTTCGCACTTTACAAATCTTAAATGCAGAAAATTGAATTAAAGAAAGCAGAATTAAATCTGTTTTACCTTCCATTATGGTCTGATGACATTAAACTGCAGATTCACTGCGGAGCCGTTTTATTTGATTGACGGGAGCCTAACATGACCGCTGTGCACTAGAGCCTGGTATTGCGACATGGGTTATATATGAAATCAAGATCGAGCTGGCAATACCGGAATCTAGAACCTAGGGAAGTGTGTGTGTGTACAGTTACCTGTGTGACTGATTTTCTGCCATGTTTGGTCTTCGTCTGTATCTCTTCTCAAAATCTGTTATAATGAACTGAATCTCAGTTCAACGTCACGTTTATTTAGAAAGTCTTATAGCTGAAGCGATGAGTTCGTAGATGTAAACACCAGTGTGCAATGATGAAAAACCACTGCACAGTCTCCGTTATCGCTTCACTTTAACCCCCCCCTTCACAAACACATACTCTCTGTCTCACAGACATACACACACACACAGCGCCCCCCACACGGACACACCGAACCCACACCCCCCACCACACACACACCGCCACTCATATACACATTCCCCCCCCCACACACACGCATCGCATTCACACACATGTATACATGCCGACCCATACACGCACAGACTCACACACACACACACATCTCGTTGATGCGTGTTCCACCTCATTTAAATGTAAATAGTACCTCCCAGCTGCAGTGCCAGCTAGCGGGCTACCCGGAGAAATACTCAAATTGTCAGGTCGGGTTTTTCCGCTGGATGAAGTTCCCTAACAGCTCTCTACCCCTCCCCCCCCCCCTCTCTCTCGCTCTAACACTGGAAAGCGACCCTTGTGCGACCATGAAACTAGCCAGGTCGCCGTTGGTGGCTCAAATAATGCGCGGTTATCGTACACAAAATTTTTACTCGTCGCCGTCGCCTAAATCACCATAAAATTCTGTGCATGTTACAACAAACACACACATGGCGCGGTGGAGGTTGGTCGCTGCTTGGTGGTTCACGACAAGCAGGAGGTGGCCTTAGTATCGATGTAATTGTATTGTCTCAGTTTTCATTATTGTGATTCTTTTATTTCTGTAGCTGTCCTTATTTATTTTTTACTTAACTATACAGTCGGCCAATAAAATAATCCTCTGAGTCAGTTGAGTCAGTTGTTTAACAGGTGTACCTGTGACGACGTTACTGACAGTCATATGGCAACTGGCTGAAAAACGTAACGTCATGGCGGTTATTTGAAACTTTTCAGTGAGTCCGCGCCACGAAGTAGCGCCGTTTCTGGACATCTGCGATGGCTGACGTGAAAAACCGTACCTTGCAAATAAAATCCTTTTAAAAACAAACCAGGGCGTTTTGAGTTGTGATTTTGTAAAGATGATAAGAAAAGTTTATGCTCTTACTCATGATTTCAAAGGATTACTGAAACATCCACAAATTTAAATGAATTAAGTTCACGATTTTGAATTTATGAAAAAAAATCGATCCCAAAATGACTCTCGTAGGAGGTGGGACTATATTGCGAGAAAAAAAGTTGCAAGCCTGAATTTTTTTCATTTTTAGATATGAGTTAAAATATCATCCAAAGTTTATGATTTTGACGGGAATAGTTTGCACACTCTCTAGTATGGTCACACGGTTCCCTAATCCAACATTCAACAAAAAATCTTGAAAAAAATGGCGCTTCTCGATACCTATGCCAAACTATGAAATAATTCAATCTAAAAACCGTTAAAGGTTACATATTTTATTCACATTTAATTGCAACTAACCTGAAATCGATGATGAAACGCACACATCCAGTTTGAACTAGTTTCAGTGAGTATTTTTTATGAACGACCTTCACCTATTCTTGATGCGTGAAATGCAAAAGGCAAACATGTGCTTGTGGATATTCATTTGAAATATTGGACCACTTTTGTATGATATTATTAATGAGAATTTATCATTTTTTGAAAGGCCTTAATTACCTAAGGAAAGGGTTTGGATTTACGTAATCTAATATCATTTATGCAGGAGATTATATGTTGACCTACATATGTATAGGGTTTGCGTAAACAAATTGGAGTGAACACGTGTAAAGAAGTGAGAGAGGCGGACAAATGTGGATCTGCTGCGGGTTGTGGCTTAACTCTAGAACAGAAAAGGATGACAAACATTTAACAAAGGTAATTCTGGTTCATGATAACGTTTGTAAAGCAGGCCTTCTAAAATAAAACGCAATTCATGCATCATGATGTTTAGTTTAACTATCATTTCAATGGCATTTGGGTTTACCATGTACCGGTATGATGTACCTCAGCGTATTTTAAAATTGCTCAGTTAGCTCTTTTCTTTATTGTTATTAATTTCATTACTATTATTGTCAGCTTCTTTATTTCTCATTATTTCAGAATTCACAGATGAGGAGCTTTTCTGCCTGTATATGCCAATATGTTTTCTGGCATGCTTATAACCTGTTCATGGCAGATGGGATGAGAGAAAACAGTTTTCTTATTTTATCTGTACCGCAAGCTTCTCAACAATGATCAAACTACAATTAAATCAGCGATACTTTTTTGTTACACATACAAATAGAAGCCTGAAAGCGATATATTAAAAAGGACTTTAGATTTATGCATTTCTGAGTTTTGTTTAACTTAAATTGAACTTTACATTCAATGCATGATAGTTTTTATTCTGGGTGTAACTCGCCAATTTAAGATTGTAAGTGTATCTTTGCCCTTTAGTTTCTCCTTTGATCAGCACCAAATATATATATTAAAATAAAAAATATACAAGCTTAAAAATATGGAATTGTTAGAAAAGTAATATAAGTGAATTCTACAGTCACGAGTCTCACGACACACTTTTACTAACGGAAATATGTTTGACTTATATATGTACCCTGATACAAATAAAGTGTCACTGCCAGAACGTGTACTGTTCATTCCATGGTAAACAGTGAAAAATTTGTAAACAAAGTAAATTTCCCATGGAAAGCGTACTTGGTTGACCCAGGTGCAAATCTCCAAAAAGTATCCAAAATGTATCAAAGATACCAGTGCCACATTCCAAATTTGTGCGGCTCAGTCCATTTTTGTAAAAGAAAGAATTGAGGGGGACAGCTCAGTAACAGGTACTGAGATTTTTGTATAAATAATTTCAAATACGATTTTAAATCTTTTGAGTATTTGCAAAAAATATCAAGATTTACATCGTTTACTTTTCATGCAACTTTAAGTTATCAAATTTATGGCAAGTGTCTGCTACAAATTGAACTCCCCTACATCAAGTGGAAATGTGTCAAAGACGCGTGCAGTGCTAAATTCTGAAGTCGTTTTGTTTGCTGAAATTTGATAATGGAAATAAACAACAGAGATTGAGACCTAATACGTAATGGTGAACAAATTGGATACTCTGATGCTAAGTCGATTTTTCATTCAAAATTGTGCAGACTGCTGTATGACGACAAATTTCGTGAAGAACTCTCATCGCCAGTGCAGAACTGCAGGTGCGATAATGATAAAAATCGTCGTCTTTGAATTAAGACATCCGAGAAGGTAAAAGTGATTTTAACACATTGGTTTTTGATTATAATTATTGGAAATATAGTTTTGTTACTGAAATAAAAGATAAGTACTTTGATTTTCGATATTTGAAAAAGTCAGCAGACCTTCACTTGCTTCTGTATTGGAAAAAATGACGTCAGAATATGGCTGACATCTAGCGGAATAGGGTCAAAAACGCACTTCAACAGCTGGCAAAAAAAGTTGCCAGAATAAATTCTGATGAAACTTGGTAGGTTTATTTTGCGTATTAAAAGTCATCTTCTATCGACTGGAATAAGGTGCACACTCTCTGTGATAGGAGATATCTCAAAATGTTACGGTGTTGCTATGGATAATAATCGGCATGTTGGCCGACTTTGTCGAGTTATATTTCCTTCATTTCACTTTGATTCTGGGTAAATCTCACACTTACAGACGCGTGATAAACTCTGCTACCGTGTCTTAATTTTTCATAAGCACCAACAGAGGTAATAAAGTACAATTCTTTCATTTCCGCGTTGGTTGCGAAATTTACAAAATTTCAACCGCGACGTCATCTCAGCGCACGCGCTCCGTTCTGAATATCTTCCTACGCGCAGCCAGTTGCCATATGACTGTGATTACACACAACTGTTATATGTATTGAATATTCTCAAGGTCAGAGAATAATATTTTTTGGGGATTATTTTTGACGAACTCAATGATTTTTTCACATTTTTTTATAATTCTTTTGATTCTTTGATTACTTTTTGGTGTACTTTTAATTACCTGTAATATTTGGTGCTAAAATTGACACTGATAGACTGCCTTAAGACATATCTGTTTTGTTTTACAGGTATCTTAAGACTTGAATAAAACTATGTTACAAATTCAGGCATGCCAGATATCAATTATTAACATTCTGAGTTCTGAAAAACTCTTTGTCAGTGAGGATATAGAAAGGTAACTGACCTGCTTTCAGCAGCATTATCTGATCATCCTGCGACAGCCCCATAAAACAAGGTATCATCTTAGCAAATTCAATTATCTGCTGTACTGCCATAGTAACTTTTTCTGCTATCTCCATCCATAGCTGCTCACGGCTCTGTCAACAAAAAAATTCAATTAACAGTTCCGTCCATTATAAACTAGTAAGAAGTATATTAAATGTAGTTGAAAATGTATCATACAAAATTAAAGGAGGTGACTTATGTATGCTTCCTGCATCCACATGTTATTTCATTCATTTCATTAAAAAACAAGATATCATATCAACAATTATTGCTGTTGACTTAAAATCCAGAATATTGCTCTCATTTCTTTTTATTGATTCTTTCAGCTACAAAGCAGATAGCATAGACGTATGAGGTAAGAGAACTCTTCTTGCTCCAATGGCTACACACAAAACACATATCTGCAATGTTTTTCAATTATAAGATTAGGCATGATGGAGATCTTTATTGATTTTATACTTGATACCTCAGCTTCACACTGTGCTCTATGAGCATCGTAATACAATGAAACACAAGATATCTAATATAATAATTCTAATGGACTGTGTGTGTGTGTGTGTGAGAGAGAGAGAGAGAGAGAGAGAGAGAGAGAGAGAGAGATGACCAACAGAATCAGATAGGCAAGTAAAAAAAAATTTAATTCTGTGCCCAGCATTCAGAAAAGCATACCATATTTTTGTATGCCTCCAGTTGCTCAGGGGGCAAGGCATGCTGTCTCATTTGCTCCAACTGTTCATTGGTGAACAAACAGGTCCTGCCATGGGCATCACTCACTGCCTTAGCCAAAAGACCTGAAGTACAGCAAATGGAAAATGCAGTCATGGTTTTAGGTTGTTAAAAAAAAATCTTAAAAATCATGTCTGAGAACGAAAATATGTCATTTCTATTCAGCTTATTGGTAACTTGGGTCTCTGCAAATCACTAGTAAGCAACAAAATTTACTCATTTGAATATGAAATTCACACATGGAGAAATTAGTCTTTTCTGTAATTCTTTTACAAGCCCAACATTATATCTGCCAACCACAAGTCTCAAAGTATCAGATTGCCTCTTCTTTCACTAACAGATTGTCTTCATTACATCATTGTAAGTCCAGTAATAGCATAAAAAAATGTGTACCACTATATAAATAGACCTTTATGGTGAAGTGCCAAGAAAAAATATTTTCCGTAAGCTATAAACTCCGTAGATGATGAACTTACTGAGGTCAATGTCTTCTGGCTTGACCAGTGGGATGAGGGTGGACTGCATGAAGGACCCCTCTCCATTCATGGGGTTCTGGATGACGTACCCTGGCGGCAGCGGCAACTCTGGAGGGCTGTAGTAACCATTAGCAGACGCGTAGTTATGTGGTGCAGGTTGGTAGTTAGCATAACTACACACCGAAAAACAAACAAAATAGGGGTTCTATCACACACACACACAACAACAACAACAACACCAAAAAGAAAAAGGCAAGAAACAAACCAAGAGCATTCTGAAATTACAAACATTTTCCTATGAAATTAGTTGTTCTCTTTTATGAGGATGTTTTCTGAAAAGTCTAACCAACTAAAACAACTATGGTGAGTTTGTTTATAAAGGATTATAAATTCCTATGGAAAAATGCTCCAGAGTTAGAATCTACTGGCAAATGTAAAACAGCCAACAAAGTACATATTAGTAATAAGCAGTGAATAAACAAGTAATGGGATCATTACATACTGGCATTTTTTCAAGTCCCAATCCCATTTGGTTCAGTAAAAGTATTCAGGAAAACACGTTTAAGGGAACAATATCCACAAAAAGTATATTTATGGTTCTACTTTAAAACCATCTTTGTGGCCATAAAATGTACATTTTAACCACAAGCAACACAACTGAATCATTCTAAAGGAAATAATTCTAAAATGAGAAACCAAAATCAGTGACCCAACCAAGCCAAAATAAAACCATATTCACTCAGTCCTCGTCAGGGAAGTTGATGCCAAAAAATGTATTCAGTTAATAATTGAATCATGTTTGGCATTAGCTGTGATATTGCCACATTATGCAAAAAGAATAACCCAAGATAGTCTTAGGATTTTGTGTTTTGTCAAGCGAGATTTCCCTGGATCTTGCAGGAGAGTGGGGCCAGCAATAATGGCAGACTAGGCAGTGCAAAGCAACAATAAATAAAATATGATAGAATTTATCCTGAATTATTTATCTGGTTGTCATCTCTTAAGATAAAAAAATTGAACAACAGGTGTTCATCAAGTTTTGCCAGTCATTTTTGTATGTTTTTTAAGACAACATTTCTAGTGGATAGAGTGTCCCTATTATCAATGAAAATTTAACCCTACTTCATGTGGACTCTATTTTTTTTTTTTATTTTTTTTTATTGTCTTGTATGATTTTGTAGTGCCTAGTGTCTTTTTTTTTAGGCCATCTCGAGTGATTTCTATTGCTTTTGCTAGGTGCTAACACAATCAATTTCAACATGGGTGTCTTAGACTTAGTATGCCTATAGAACTGAGACTTGATTGAATGCCATTTGTTAGTAATAAGATTGACTATATGCACAGAAGGCAAAACGTAAGCTTGGGTTTAGTCATCATTCTCTCTCACACACCATCTCTCTCTCTCTCTCTAAGCAAAAATATGTTATCATATATATGAGAGAGAAAGACAGATGGTTAAACATCTTATTTACAAGTTACAGCATGCCACACATTCAGACAGGTAAGCCACAAATAGTCATAAGAATTAAATTTTCCATCAACTAGCCAGATTACAAAAACATCCAAGTGCATGTAATATTACAAATGTAAATTGTTGATACAATATTTCATTAATGTAAAAATAACAGGATCTCCGAAAATGAATGAAAATCCCTTTATGCTATATGTGCTGGACATGTGTCAGTATAGTGAAATAATTAAGCACATTTGGCTTTCTGACAATGGTTGATTCTCTTACTACACTTAGCTCTGGCTGGTGTTTTAAACAATAGGATAAATGCACATGTATTTTGCTTACATGCTTGCATGCATTTTAAAGTGCTTTACCCTGTTCCAAGCGAAACGTCCTATTGTTCGAAGCACCAGTCATGGGATAAGTCAGTTACACTTACTTGCCGTCCACTGTATGTGACATATACAACTGTAGTCATGTTTCGACTATGCATCGATATATTTACTGTACTCTCTTACATGTCACATACAGTGGACGTCACTTGTAACTAGTATTACCATGTTCTGACCAAGTTTTTTTCCCCCGTCAACATATTCGCATAAGGGTCACTTTTATTTTCTTTTTTAAAATCTGATCACCCTTCCCACGAATCTCACAGAGAAATATGTTTCGACTTAGAGGGATCAGACATGAATTTTGATGTCTTAATTTTTTTTTCTAAAACGTTCTAACTTCCCAAAAACCTGCTTAAAACGTGCCTTTTATACAAAGTGTATATACATTCGAGGCATGCTGGTTTTGTAGAATTTCCTTTTAGCCAAATGAAAGAAATTAAATGTATATTCACAGTGTTTTTCTAGACAGTACAGACTGACAAATGCTCGTAAATTATTGTGGGTGCAAAAAAACATACATTAGTGGTATTTTTTAGTTCCAAACCCCTCTAAGCAAGTAATAAACTGCATGTGGTGTGATAAAAACAGACTTGGGACCAAGTTGCACATTGCAAGCTAAAAAGCTTAAGCAAGACCATGTCACATATTATCAATAAATATGAAATATTTTCATTATCCAGTATGCAAAGAGACCCTTATTTAGCTGCTAAAATGCTTAAATTGATACAGCTAAAGAAGTCTGAACATAATCTTTGAATCCCGTAACCTTGCATGACAAGATAGATAACACAGGAGTTTATTATTCTTAAAAGTATCACCTGAAACATGAGCATAAAAGCAAGCAAGAAAGACTACAAACCTGTAATTATTATTGATTTGTTGCTCAAAGCTTCCATTATCAGGAAAGCCGTTCAGTTTGGTTCTTTTGTGGAAGTTGGCCTCATCTTCCACACGCTCTCTCTGTTTCTTTGACATGCGTCCAAATTTGACAGCTGAAAATACAGCAGAAAACATCATACAATGACGGCCCATACTGACTACATGTGAGAGATTGATTGTTTGCATTATTTACCCCATAATGTGACACATTAGTATGCTAGTCACAATTTTGTTTAAATTGTTATGTATCAGGGTAATCAGAGCCTTTTTTTAGTCCACAATCTTCAATTTCCTATTCAAGTAAATTTAGGCACACTGTTTGCATCCATCCCATTAATTCTAGTTATTGCTACGAGACTATTGTGACTAACAGCAACTCAGCCAACACACGAGGCAAGCCTTTTATGAGAAGAAAATCAGTCTGAAACTCTTCTTACAACAATGAAAATCCAGCAGCTGGGTGGAAACTTTAATGAACTACATTTCACAAACTATAAACGTAGATTTCATTACTAGGTATCTGGGACTGAAGTCATTAATCTTTAAAACTGAGATAACAGGCTCCATTGCATCGCCTCTAACTTGGCAGCCAGATTGTGAAGTATTGATCTTTTTATAAGAAACAGAAGAATGCTATCTTACATGGCTACAGGAGAATTGTGATTATTGCTCATTCAGCAAAATTAGTGCCATGATATCTACTTAAGGCACCACCTTGATTTCTATTCACAATATGCTGGATAAAACATCACATTTAAGGGTTTGGTATTAGTATTGCACAAACCACTGATCAGCATAACAAAGGCAGCAAGTGCCTGTAGCATAGTAGTTTTTCACTTGGCTGTCTTTGTTATGGTGATGCCTGGTTTTGTTGAAGATACTGCAATGCATGCTACCTGACAGAAATGTCTTGTTGATGTCATCTTACGCATACAGTTCAGGCATAACTGGTGCAGCAACCATGTTTTATACAATCTAAATTGCAATATTGAGTTGGGGTTGTGAGTGTCTTACTGCTTCTTTTTTGGTCTTTCCTTAAAGACAAAGAGGACATTTTTCCGCTTAAAATAAAAGAGCTTTTGTTATTAAATACTTTAATATTACTTAAGTTTGCTATGTACAGAACATTCAATTTACCTGCAGTTTTAAAAATTTAAATTCAGCATCATGCATCCAAGCTTGTGATGGCAGTAAAGGCAATGAATTGCTGTCGGGCAATAAAGATTCAAATAATGTTCTGGAAAGAGCTTTTGCATACAGCTATTTCAATGGAGGACTAAGGTGAGAATTTGAAATCTGAATTAGAGTGCTGGAGGCAGAAAACTGGGAGGGGTCTTTTAATTAAACCTGGGAGTTGATATTTATCTGTGAATGGGGCATGTGGAAGCAGGGAGACCTTCAGAGGATTAATCAGCATAGCTTTTAAGTGGGGTCGGCTTTATTTAGTCAGAGGATCAGTTAGTCCTTGGATCATCTGTTCTGAACGTGTCTGAACTTAATATGAGTTGTTAATCTCAACAAGCAGCTGTAAAACAAAAAGTCAACCACTGACCAAATTCCTCTAAAAGCACAAATGGCAACATTCCTTTCAATTAGTAGTTTTTATGTCTGCTTTAAAAAAACAAACTGAAAGGTTTGCCCCTCTGCTAAAATATATGCAGCTTAATGGGAAATAAAACACCAAAAGACCCAACATTTCTGACAGAGAGATGTGTACATTCCCCTAAGTCTAAATCTAATCCAGATGGCCATGTGCAGCCTTGGCCATAAAAACCCAGTCATAGGGCCCCCAAGATGAAATTGACATTGACAGCAGTTTTTCAATATGGGCCCTAGCACTGTATTTACAATATCAGCACCAAAATTAGAGACTTGGAATGGAAAACTCAGAACTCCATAACCTTGCTCATAAAAAAGCAGCAGTTCTATCAATCTGCTGTCAACTTCTCTGCTTGGTGGACATAAGTTATGTGCAAAAATGACAAGACAACCTATTTCTGAACAGCCTTGTTTCCCAACCAAAAACAGTCAAATACTACAGTTGCAGGGTTTTGGTAATATATATCATCCACTGAATGCAACATCGGTAGGCCCTCTGAACTACAGTGTATTTAAAAGGCAAATAAATATCCAAAACCGTACAAACTACAACATAGTACAATTTTGATGGAGAATTTTCCAAAAAAAGAAATTTTAAGTACACTAATAGTCAAAGAAAAACACTTAACTAATTTGAAATATATACAACAAGAAAATCATTACAAAAATGTGCCATGGATCTTTTAACTAGATTTCTGTTTCCAGAATAAATGTTTTGGTTGAAATGTTATAACCAAGGCACTGGCATAGAGTAATGTGGTGTAAAAATTTCAAATTTAATCAAATTTGTATTTGATGAAAAGAACAGCTGTTTTTTATTCAACAGGTGGCAGTGAGAACAACTGGTTTTAAAACTGAGCTCCCACCCAGCACCCTGATAACAGAGGTTCATTTGTAGTAATCCCTGGACCTTGGGGTGCCACATTGATTCAAGGCTGGTCTTTGCCATTGTCGGGTCCTCTTTGCATCCAGCAATACCCTTAACTCAGACATGATCCTAGGTTTAAAAAAAACCTCTGAACATTTATCATTTTACTGCAGATCTTGATGAATCTCAAGAACCATCAGAATTGAATTAAAAAACACAGAATTCTGCGTTTCCGCAGAAAAAGCTCATGTCTGTTAACTGCACTAGTCCAGTTTGAGAGAGTGACAACTTACTGCGTTAGCTTGGCTACACCTAAGGCCCCATTCCCATAGACACCACAGGTCTATGTAGTTTGATCCAACTCTGTGGGGTATACTGGGACCTGTGAAAGCCCCCCCCCCCCCTCCTTAATAGTTGTAAATATTCATTCCCTAAAGCCACAATCTGTGTAAAGCTCAAGCCAAAGACAACCTAAGAAGATGCTGTATTCTGTGAACACTGCTAACCACAACAATCATGGTAAACAAAGATCAGCTAACAAGAATCACATGTTATCTGACATACATCTGTAGACAGAGAGAGGAAGAAATTCCTTTTTCCTGCTCTTACCAAACCTCAGGCCTAATAAACGATAATTGCTGCTTGCTAACACTTGGGAGCACAAATTTCCCTCTCAACATTTTTCGGGGAAACAGCCTCCCCCCTGCAACAAAATTATATTCAGACAACCTACCATCCCTGGACATTCCAAGAGCAATGCATTTCTGCAACCTGCAAAACTGGCACCTGTTCCTATTCACTCTGTCGATGACACAGCCTTTATTTTTCGGACACTGATAGTTTACTGGCCCTGACTGACTCCTCCTGAAAAATCCCTGAAAAAAGAAGAAAGAAGTCAATTACCACCAATTAACAGCAGTAGGAAAATTCTACAAAATAAATAATAAAATTAATATAAACTAATTAACAGCAGAAAAATACATATTACACAAATTAAAATGTTGAAAATATTTTCCTTAGCAAACACTATCAAACAGCAATTAGTTTTGGTGACATCATCCATGCTAGCCACCTTCACTATCAAGATCCATGCTGTAACTTAAATGTGAAACATCTGTACACATTTAATATTCCCCAAATGCTGCAGGTTGTACATAATACACCTGAACAACATCTGCATTTTCTCTATTTTGGATGCAAACAGTTCTTTTTATACCTACTCCATTACCAAGCAAAAGGCATACTGACAAGGTGGATTTTCACACATTTATGAACACTGGTTTTTCTCTTGATATCATAGTGAACCAGGCTCCATTAAACTACTTCAATATGAGACAAGAACATTTTTCAATGAAGGTGCTCACTTTTCCAGCTGTCATGAAAGGGAGAAAGGTAACGTCGGACAAAGAAAACCATTATACTACTATCAGAATTATCTTTAAATTCAGACACTCGTAAAAGGGTATGTACATGAAACCTAAGCACCAGTCGACACAAAACTTCCCAAAGCTCTCCTTTCCAGTCCACCGCTCTCTTTTTTTAACATGCACAGATGTCTTTGTTCATAATGCATCTTTATTCACAGCTGCAAGCTATCCAATTCCTATCAGTGTTCAAGCCAAGGGAATAACACAGAGCGAGGACTTATAACCCCATCGGTGGTGGTTACAGTAATCACACTGCATGTTGAAGCAAGGGGCATAGCTGACCATCACCAGTTTTGCAAATTAAATGTGTTCTACTCTACAATAGATTTAAGATATTTCTCTCTCTCTCTCTCTCTCTGTGTGTATGTGTGTATTTTTAAGTTGAGAGGGGTGCAAGGAAGGTGCAAAGTTAGAAATTTCCCTAATTTTAGCTACATGCAAAAGAAAAACATTTTTTTATAAATCCAAAGTAGCACCAACTGCTCACACTTATCTGATTGGATTTCCTTAAACCTCACTGTGAACGGGTTGGAAGAGTGGTATTCAATTTAATATACAGGCTGAGTTTGATGACATGGCTTAAAATCTGATATCATCAGAAACGTGTCTTGTCACCTAAATTGTTTATTAATTGATTGGTTTTGTCAGTCATCCTATTGTGATATGTGTATTAACTAGTATCAGTTATCTTACTGTTATTTGTGTATTAACTAGTATCGGTTATCCTATTGTTGAATGTATATTAACTATTGTCAGTCATCCTACTGCTAGATGTGTATTAATTATTGGCAAGTATAATTACAGGCATAAAGCAGAAAATAACAATGACAGCTTACAAAAATTTTTTTTTCTCAATTTTGATACAATATTGCATGATGCTAATGCTTAACAGCAAAACTAGTAAAGTGTTTAACTACCAATATTTAATAATGAATGTATTACTACATGTAGTGTTAATGTAGCTACCAGAGAGCTTCAGCCCAATTGGTATTTCAAAGTCACATATTGAATATGCCCATGGGCAATGGGTGAAAAATAAAAAAATTCACAAAAAACTGCACAACTTCAAGAAAAAAAGAATACTATTAAGCTTGAGCTGTAATTTAGTCCTAGGAATCATTCTTGCAAGTATGAGCACAATAAGTAACATGGTTTTTCTTTTATGTTTACAGTAAAAAGATACACTGTGTCTGTACATAAAAAAGAAGATTTTCAATGAGCAGACTATGTACCAACATTTCGATTTGTCAGCCCTGGATCTATAAAGCTCTACATCAACACCAAACTTGAAAATAAAATATGCTTGAATATCTTTATGATTGTAATGTATGCCACCATTTTGCTTTCATACCTGCATCAGTTATCTTCAACAATATTAAAATGCCTTGCCTCTATATCTTCATCATCCTAAATCAACACAAAAGTCCTATCTCAGGCCTTCCCAACTACCAGACTTGACACCTACGGGTCCAGAATAAACCGGTATATCTGACCACACTACCCGTTTTCAAGGTGTGTGTCAGATCGCATAAAACAGTATCATACCCTTTCACAAATTCTGTAAGCCTACCTGTCATCCGGGTATCGCGCCTCGTTTTCGTCAAGTAGGAGTCGCATGAATACAACAGACGACTCCCTCAATCAGGGGGTGGAAACGCGCTACTTATATGATTAAGACGAGCCTAGCCGTCAGTACCGGTTATTGTTTTGTGACCTTGAGGAGCAATTAGGTTTGGTCGTTGCGGCACGCATCAACAGTAGTTGAACTACCACACCTGGGTCTTTTGTTTTTGACAACTGTTCACTCGTCATCGAGGCGCTTGTTCAAGACTACAGGCTGATATCTACTAGTACTACCAGTGGCTTCATTAGTAACGTTCCCACAATACTTAAGTTTTCTGTCCGTGCGTACAAACCCTGAAAAAGGACAGCCTCGCTGACGAGAACAATGGACGTTTCTCACCCCTCTCTAGGATTACCCCTGCCCTCAATCTCGTCCATCCCGGTAGTCACGAAAATATTTAACCCCCGACAGAATATGCTTCTGCTATCAAAATTAGGTCTACTTTTCTAAATTAATATATAAGTTTGCAAGTTCTTATTTACAAAACATCAATGGCTATGTCCGAACCTAAATTTTATGTTAAAAATTGCGGTACTGTCAGATTTTAGCATAAACAGAGAAAATTGCAGCAGCGCATGAATCTAGATGAGATGCACTACTTTCCAACCCCGCTTAGGATCATTGCTATCACATCGCGCACCAGGCAAAATCGGTGTGGAGGCTGATACTCTGTAATGCGATCTGACACACACCTTGAAAACGGGTAGTGTGGTCTGATAAACCGGTTTATACTGGACCCGTAGGTGCCGAGTCTGGTAGTTGGGAAGGCCTGTATCTGCCACACTATATCACCAGGTGTTTTTTTTTTTTTTTTCAGTTTTCTTTATCGGTGTTAATTATCAGCAGCAATGGATATCCCACAAGTATAATACTGACAACTGCTGGATTAAATTTTAACTGTTACATTATCTCAATGGCAAAAAAATATACTTATATATGTGTAATTTTCAACCAGTATGAAACAGCTATTGACTATGTGAAAAATTAGTTTTCTGAACACATTGGTGATCAGATTTTAGTATTACAGTCAGGATAACTGTATCCGACTTATCAACTATGCCCCCAGGGCAAGAAAACGGGCTGGTTTCACAAATGAACATAAAAATGACAGTAGGTCTTACAACTAAAAAATATGTTCTGCTACAGTCCAGAATAAATCTGTAATAGTCCATTTAAACAAAGTAACAACTGGTCCAAAATAAAACCATTTAGGTGGACTATTACTACTCAGTCTCAGATATTAATACATTAAAATTTTTGTGTTTCAACCCAAGTTCCTGTAAATGGGCCTGATTACAACTCTGTGCAGATAATGTCCTTGATCAGAATAATGACTAAAATGCAGGAAAAATCTTTGAAAACAATGCCTCTTGGGCAGGCATGCAGTTTTGACATTTTTTTAATGGGAAGGGAGGGATGCATTTACAACATCAATTTTAAAAGATATCATATGTATAGTATACTATACACACATCTTCCCGCTGTATTTCTGAACTTACAATACTGTAACTATGACAACTCACTTTGCATCCTTCGCAGGTAATCACTCCATAATGCACACCTGATGATTTGTCTCCACACACTTTGCATGGTATAACCTCTATCTGGGCTAGAAAAGAAAAGATGAGACAAACTTAGGTTAATTTCTTCCTCTTTTTGTCATATAGCACCTGTGGATGGTTTCTCTAAAGAGCTTTAGATCAAAAGGTGATCTTTTAAAAAACAGATCATTTTTCAGTTGAGTGAAGTACTATCACATAACCCTTGTCAAATCTGATTCAGAACTTAGGTCCATCATTTCTTTTGTGGAGCTGACCCATACCTTCAGGTTTTTTTCCATAAATTGTATATATATAATCATACATAATATTTGATTTTGTTAGTCACTCAGTGGTCACCTTTATAAAAAAATTGTCATTTTTTGTATTGTTACCTTATTTTGCATGACAAAACAGGGCACATAAAAAATGGTATTTTATGTACATACATATTATGTATGTACATAAAATACCATTTTTTATGATAAAATATATTAATCTATTATGGAGAGAAAAATAATCACTAAAGAATGATGTTAGCAAAATATTTAGTTTTCTTGATATTATCTTTGAAAGATCCTTTTGCTGTGCAATTATGAATCCAGTTGTACTTAAAAAGGAGAAGTGGCACTGTGGAAAGATTACATGCACATTCTTTCATTCATTTATCAATACATTGCATGTCACTTCTACTTTCTCAATTCACTCTTAACATTTAGGAACACTACTGTAACAATTGCTCGGCTGAAATAAAAAATACATAGTGCATCTACCAGATCTTTTGGCTTTCTTCCATTAAAAAAAAAACATTTGCCATTGGCCTCTATATATATTTATCATTATTCTCCATCTAGTGAATCAGACTTTCAAAGTGCAAAAGACAGGCAGTTTTACTGCAGCATTAACTATGCAAGATTCTGCTCTTAATCGTCTCATTAAATTTTTTTCTTACTTTTTGCCTCTTTACACACTGAATTTATAACAAAGTATCATGGGCATGCTTGAGGGAAGTCATGTGTTTTTTAATATAAACATCCACAATACAAAAATTCGCAGTGCACTATAAAAATCCATCATCTTTCATATAAGCAATCTGACAGGGCCACAAAGTACAACATTCCTACCAGCAATGTGGCAGACATACCTGATAAATCTTGATCCTGGTGCAGCAAAATTAATTTTGGCTATAAAGAACTACTACTCTCACTAGATAACATCTATCTNTGCACATTCTTTCATTCATTTATCAATACATTGCATGTCACTTCTACTTTCTCAATTCACTCTTAACATTTAGGAACACTACTGTAACAATTGCTCGGCTGAAATAAAAAATACATAGTGCATCTACCAGATCTTTTGGCTTTCTTCCATTAAAAAAAAAAAAAAAACATTTGCCATTGGCCTCTATATATTTATATCATCATTCTCCATCTAGTGAATCAGACTTTCAAAGTGCAAAAGACAGGCAGTTTTACTGCAGCATTAACTATACAAGATTCTGCTCTTAATCGTCTCACTAAATTTTTTTCTTACTTTTTGCCTCTTTACACACTGAATTTATAACAAAGTATCATGGGCATGCTTGAGGGAAGTCATGTGTTTTTTAATATAAACATCCACAATACAAAAATTCAGTGCACTATAAAAATCCATCATCTTTCATATAAGCAATCTGACAGGGCCACAAAGTACAACATTCCTACCAGCAATGTGGCAGACATACCTGATAAATCTTGATCCTGGTGCAGCAAAATTAATTTTGGCTATAAAGAACTACTACTCTCACTAGATAACATCTATCTAAACATAAAAAGAAAGTGCATATCAAAACTGACACTGTATTCTTATCAATTTGGTTTGAAATCTTTTTATCCTTGCTTATGGTTCATAGGTTTAATGCTCTTCTCTTGTTTGGAATCATACTCATAAGGCTGTCAAGCTGATAAGCTAAATTATATTTCTACCTGAAAGTTCCATGCTCTTCACTCCTATATCAAGTTCTCTTATGCACAATGTTCTCATTTCTCTCAACTAACCACATGATCACTAACTGGATGATTATCTTATCACAGATACAGATGACCGTTCGTTTGCCAAAACGTTCAAAATTTCTCAACAAATTATTTTGACGCGTTGCACTAGGACAAAACAGAAACATTTTGCTTTAAGGCATGCAACTTTTTAAAGCTATTAAAACACTGAAAACTCAACCATGATCTTTCCATGAAATGTGCACATTTACACAATGTATATTTTTCTGGAGTTTAAATGACGTTTTACGGTTAAGGTAAAGCAGGGATGCTTATGAGATTACTGATGACAAACAAACCAAGTCAAAGTAACTATGCAGCGTCTACAGCACCATACTGATGCTTCTATCACATTTAACTGATAAAACCAGGGAATGTAAACAATGGGGGGAAAACTTGGGGATGTATTATCACCGATACATAAAGAGGTATCCTACTTGTATCATTTCACAGCTCCTGCTGACAAATTAAATTTCCTCAGGTAGAGGAGCCACAGCAATATTTTCATCAGTACTAGTTGTTTCACATTAAACCAAACAAAATATCAAATCCTAAAGGCAATTACAGACTGCGGTTAGCTAACATTTTTTTAATCTGCTGCTGATAAAAGTTGGTAAAATCAAATATGTGAGGAAATAAAGTCATTTTACATGCAGCATGAGAGCATTTGATAATTTGACAGCAAATAAACCTGTCAGAAATCAACAGGTGAAAACTGTAAGCTAGAAGAGATCTTGCAGAAGTCAAGCAAAGTTCATGTTTACCCAATGTCATTTGGTCAACCCACCAGATGAAATTAATTGGAGATTGTGGCTTAACAGTATTGGAAATGATTGTTCTGGTTTTCACCACAGAAACTCTTTGACCAGATATCAAATTATATTAAGGGTATACAGTGATGGGAATTGACTGGTCCCTTCTTACTGGAGCTCTATAGTCGAGCTTTCAATATCATGATTAGCTTTTGATATGTGACCCTAAAATACAAATCCATGCATCTTTCAGTCAAAAACGGTCTTTAAAAATTCAGAACAAAACTGTATACAGTATCATAACCCTTTTATTATTATATTTTTTGACAGTGAAAAATAAATTTCCCACTTATTACAAATAACTGAACTGTGCATTAATTGTCCCCTTACCAAATTGTATAGCCACAAAAATCTACAAATCATTAAGGAATAAAAGGTGTTGTTGAAATGAACAGGTGCATTTTATTTTTATTTATTTTTTTTTATTTTCAAAAAAAAAAAAAAAAAAATCAGTTAAATATATTCATTAACATATGCTATAATTTCAATTTTTTTACTGCCAACAGTAAAAACTGAACAATACAAAATGTTCAAGTGACTGGATGTTGCTTCCTATGTAATATGAAATCTACTAAATTTTAGGATTGATACATAATTCACAACATGATAGTCACTAAGTGAATGTTTCAAAAACTCAGTAATAAATAATTAACTTTTAATATTATCTTTTTTTAAATCATCAAAAATATGCTTCAGGTTTTTAACAACATTAACTGTGAAAAGTAGCACATGACAACAGTGAAGTTATTATAAAGATTAAAATCAATTGACAAAAGTCTTCACTTACCTCTTGCTGTTTTGTCACTTTGAATGGTTGTATTGCTGAGAGTGAGATCTTCCAGATTACCTAGCAAATAACAAACAACTTTATCAGTTCTAGCATATTTTAACAATTAACTTCTCTTAATTCTAATGACTACAAACTATCATTTAAGCTTGCCACATACCTAACCATCTTTGCTGTCTACAATGTAACATATCTACAACTTAATGTCTTATTCTCTTTGTGACTGGTTTAGCAAGTAAGTTATTATGTTAGTTACATCCACTCCAAGAATCAGACATCAAACATGATCATCATTTACTGAATAAATGTGCTTATTTAAAGTCTACATTGTTTAAACTTTCTTTAACAATATATTAAGTGAGTGCTTCATGGAAATGCCCTTTCATAGAGTTTGTTTGTAACTTACAGTACAGAAGTTTTTCTCATATCAGACTGTGCCATCAACTCTCCAGCCTACTGGTTAACACTTTTGAATATAAGTTTACCAAATAAAATATTTAGTAGCTAAAAATAATCTACAAAAAAACTTAAATTTCCTCAAGTTCCATTAAACAAGAGACTTTGAAAAAACCTAATTATGTCCATCATCCAGGTAAACTGTCAATTGCCTTGGACCAACAGCTAACCTGGTAGACTGAAAGTGCACTGCTTTTGAAAATCAGAGAATATTTTTCTTATTCTTTTCCACTGAGCATTGAAAAACAACAAAAACAAGTATGTAAGATTGGGCCTTAGAGGTGTAAACAGTTACACATATATTGATTCTCAACTGTAATTACACCTAAGTGCCATGTCTAGTTACAAACTAATCAAACCTATATAGTCTGAGAGTCCTCTTGCGCACGAAACTGCAGTTGCATTATCATCTAAATCTTAGGACTCAATGAGTGAGATGCAAAAAAATCTATCCTTAAAACATACTGGATATTTTTAAAAGTTTATTCATTTTGTTACATGCAAAGAGGTATAGGTACACACAGACCCCTCCCACCACCTGCAATGATGCCATAGCCATACACCAAAATATTCTAAAATATTTGGAATGCAAACAGTGCATATGTATAAGACAAAGATAAGCAAACTTTTTAGGGGGACTTAAGGGCTGACAATTATGATTGAGAAGATGACACCCAAAACAGTAACAGAGACACCTGAATATATTTCCAAAAGAGCAACTATTTTCGCAGGCTTTTATTCAAAATATTATTCAGTAATTCGCAAACAATAAACTTGCATAATGGACTGTATTTCAGTGATCACACAATAATGTCAGTCCATGTAAATAAACCCTATAGTGTGTGTTCTTGTGCAGATATTGTGCAAGTTATGATAGTGAAAAGGAAGAGAAATCCACATGGAGAGGTCCGCCATATTGATTTACCAGGCCTAGATCGTAAACACTCCCGCATTCCAAAGATTTCCGTTGATTTTCTCTCCATCTCAACAAAATTCGACCTACCTTTCATATTTGTAGTCATCTTGCTACTAAATCATTGATGTTTACTTGGTGTATCGATGGGATTTCACCGTTAACTTTTCCAAAATCACTGATAAGATCAACCACCGCGAAACTGGATTATTATGCTAAAGGTCGCCCGCATGACATTAACATACATTAACCCCCTTCTGACCTTTAGGCGGCCATGGCCTCATTCCCGGGCCTCAAAATTAAGCATGGTGGGAAATTATTTTTTTCATAAAATACAAAATAATATGTTCAAATCAGATACCATGGGATATAACATACCAAGATGAATAAAAAATACAATTATTTTCCTTCAAAGTCTCCACACTTCATCTTAGGNACTTTGAATGGTTGTATTGCTGAGAGTGAGATCTTCCAGATTACCTAGCAAATAACAAACAACTTTATCAGTTCTAGCATATTTTAACAATTAACTTCTCTTAATTCTAATGACTACAAACTATCATTTAAGCTTGCCACATACCTAACCATCTTTGCTGTCTACAATGTAACATATCTACAACTTAATGTCTTATTCTCTTTGTGACTGGTTTAGCAAGTAAGTTATTATGTTAGTTACATCCACTCCAAGAATCAGACATCAAACATGATCATCATTTACTGAATAAATGTGCTTATTTAAAGTCTACATTGTTTAAACTTTCTTTAACAATATATTAAGTGAGTGCTTCATGGAAATGCCCTTTCATAGAGTTTGTTTGTAACTTACAGTACAGAAGTTTTTCTCATATCAGACTGTGCCATCAACTCTCCAGCCTACTGGTTAACACTTTTGAATATAAGTTTACCAAATAAAATATTTAGTAGCTAAAAATAATCTACAAAAAAACTTAAATTTCCTCAAGTTCCATTAAACAAGAGACTTTGAAAAAACCTAATTATGTCCATCATCCAGGTAAACTGTCAATTGCCTTGGACCAACAGCTAACCTGGTAGACTGAAAGTGCACTGCTTTTGAAAATCAGAGAATATTTTTCTTATTCTTTTCCACTGAGCATTGAAAAACAACAAAAACAAGTATGTAAGATTGGGCCTTAGAGGTGTAAACAGTTACACATATATTGATTCTCAACTGTAATTACACCTAAGTGCCATGTCTAGTTACAAACTAATCAAACCTATATAGTCTGAGAGTCCTCTTGCGCACGAAACTGCAGTTGCATTATCATCTAAATCTTAGGACTCAATGAGTGAGATGCAAAAAAATCTATCCTTAAAACATACTGGATATTTTTAAAAGTTTATTCATTTTGTTACATGCAAAGAGGTATAGGTACACACAGACCCCTCCCACCACCTGCAATGATGCCATAGCCATACACCAAAATATTCTAAAATATTTGGAATGCAAACAGTGCATATGTATAAGACAAAGATAAGCAAACTTTTTAGGGGGACTTAAGGGCTGACAATTATGATTGAGAAGATGACACCCAAAACAGTAACAGAGACACCTGAATATATTTCCAAAAGAGCAACTATTTTCGCAGGCTTTTATTCAAAATATTATTCAGTAATTCGCAAACAATAAACTTGCATAATGGACTGTATTTCAGTGATTACACAATAATGTCAGTCCATGTAAATAAACCCTATAGTGTGTGTTCTTGTGCAGATATTGTGCAAGTTATGATAGTGAAAAGGAAGAGAAATCCACATGGAGAGGTCCGCCATATTGATTTACCAGGCCTAGATCGTAAACACTCCCGCATTCCAAAGATTTCCGTTGATTTTCTCTCCATCTCAACAAAATTCGACCTACCTTTCATATTTGTAGTCATCTTGCTACTAAATCATTGATGTTTACTTGGTGTATCGATGGGATTTCACCGTTAACTTTTCCAAAATCACTGATAAGATCAACCACCGCGAAACTGGATTATTATGCTAAAGGTCGCCCGCATGACATTAACATACATTAACCCCCTTCTGACCTTTAGGCGGCCATGGCCTCATTCCCGGGCCTCAAAATTAAGCATGGTGGGAAATTATTTTTTTCATAAAATACAAAATAATATGTTCAAAACAGATACCATGGGATATAACATACCAAGATGAATAAAAAATATAATTATTTTCCTTCAAAGTCTCCACACTTCATCTTAGGCCAAGACTATGCTGCCACCTGGCGAGGTTTGATTCAATTACATGTTTACCCGGCGCGTTACAGGTGTAAAAGATACGATCTCATATAGTGACGAAAAACTCATCTTGTTAACGGCCTCTTCTTTCTAAAACTGGACTTCTTTTTTAAGCGTGATATTCTAACATGTATACAATTTTTATATTGTTCTTCTACAAACAATATTTGAGTAGTCCCAAATTACAATTAGGGGCTATATTTTATATTTGAACTGTCTATACGTACAAAAAGAAATACACTGATATTTCTAGGCACCATTGAAATACTATTGGTGGAAAAGTTACTCGAAAAATGTGTATGCAAGAATATGCAGGCCTAGCCTAAATTGTTACATAAGTTTATTCATTCAAATGTACTTATCCCGTTAAATCCAGTTTTCTTTCATAAAGTCGCTGTGCACAAGCGTGCAGTATCTACTAAGAGAAGGAATGAGGAAAAAACTCATCAAAACGTTTGCACGATTTTGTCCTTTTATCTAGTTTCATATTTAGGTCAGCTGATTTTAAGCCAGAATCTTTACCTATGAGAAAAAAATCAAGCATTAACACTGTGCTCTGCACGTTTTCTTACCATTTATGCGGTAGGGTCTACTGCATGAGAGATCAGAATACCCACGGTATCTCAAATATTTCGATTAAAAGCAGCATTTCCGAGAGCAAATCCATTTGATGTATTCCACCCTGGTCGCCATTTGCAATAGAAGTTGGTCAGTATGTCAGATCGAATGCATTACGAATTTTATTTGTGGGAAAAATTGGTCAGTATGTCAGTATGTCACGGCAGTCAGGTATATCAACATAACGTAACAGCGCTCACAGCTAGTGCTGACATCTTTTGGCAGTAGGTCAAATCAAATGAAAACGCAGCGTTCTTCCAATGTGGGGTTTAACCTGTTTAACTACCTTCTGCCATTACTGAATAATAATTTGGATAATTATGTACACTTTCTCCAACAATTACCAGTCCTGTAATTATCCTTGAGTCTTCATGAGTGTCACAGTGGAGAAATGTGCCAGAGACATAGGCCCTATCTGTGAATATCTGGTAAAAAATCAACCTGTGGCCCTGGTAGAGGGTAGGTTTTAACCCCGATATACTGTTAAAACAGGTTATACCTACATGTAGTAGACTTAAAAGTGGTTTAGGACATCCTGATTATTTTCTTTACTTTTCCTTTTTTTTTTCATTATTATTATATTTTTTTCGGGAAAGTGTCTACCGATGGTAGCCGTACTTACCGATGTGCGACCTATTGTTACGTTTTAATTTATTCGTTATTTTTCTCGGAAGAAATACTTCAATATCTAAATAGCTAAGAAATTTTCTCATCATACTCGCATAACTCTGATTTAGTGTATGTCATTTTTTTCTATTCATTTTTGACAGCCCATGGGGTTAATCTGACGTAACAAGCATGCATGTTTTACACAGTCTAGTTTCAACAGACGTTTACAAGATTGCATATGAAGAATAAAATGAAAATATGATAAATAATAAAAGAGGTGACACAGATTTTAAAAGTTAGACAAATAAATGGAAATGGTGTTTGTACAATGAATTTTAACCCTCCGTGTAGAAAAGTATACTTTAAGAAGAATGAAGACCTAAATTAAAGAGAAAATTAATCAGCCGGTGAAGTAGAGAACAGACAGATTGGGAAGTTACCTGTACTGAATGTCCATGCACCAGTACGTCAAAAAACCCACGTTTCATCGTCAGATTAAAAGCATGAGATATTACTTTGTTAAAAGTAGAGCCGTTATATTAGGTATAAAATTTAAAGGTTATTTTTAGAAACAAAAAACCTTTTGAGGTCAGTCGATCACACACACACAATAATAAATAAAATAATAAAAAATAAATAAATAAAATCCGCAAGTGTCATCTGCCCTTCTGNACTTTGTTAAAAGTAGAGCCGTTATATTAGGTATAAAATTTAAAGGTTATTTTTAGAAACAAAAAACCTTTTGAGGTCAGTCGATCACACACACACACACACACACACACACACACACACACAATAATAAATAAAATAATTTTTAAAAAAATAATAATAAAATCTGCAAGTGTCATCTGCCCTTCTGACTGTTCATGCTAAAACATATTTATGATTTAGTCAAAACAAAACAAAAAAAAAAAAAAAAAAATTGGCAGTTTGAAATAAAGGTACGTCGTTTTGCTTACCAGATTAAGTGGGTTTCTTTAGTAGAAACAGTTCTTTCTGGTGTTGTTTTCGGAAAAAAGGTGCATGCCCATCTAACCAATATATTATATAGTCTTCAGGTTGACATCCGTGAAGGCAAACAATAAATTGTATACCTAAAACACATATATCGATTTACTTAATATCATGCACCATTACAAAGATCGGAAAGATCCAGAAGATTGGCAAGATTGCTTGCGCGTCTTTGTACTGTTATACTTACAGTCCTACCAGGAAAACGGAACGGATAATCGAATCAAACTGACTAACCCTTTAACATGCTCCTTTAAAAATGTTGAACCTTTCCTCGTGAAAACACATTGAGTTAAAGTCTTTCCAGCTTTTAATAGGTACGTAATATCAGCAAAGCCTTCTCTACTCCGAATTTTTGCAGTAAAGTAATTAATAAAGTGAACGAGCGCGACCAATCCCAAATATAAGGAAATCAGTCTTTTGCAGCACGTAGAAATATCATATTTTCGAATGAAAATAATGCATTTGACATTGGTTCGGTAGGGTGGATTATTTAATGTTGTTAATTGCTTTCATACTTGAGGGGCGCCTCCTTGCCCCCCCCCCTCCTTAAAACGTAAAACACCGACCGACCCTAAAATTTAGCTGCTATGCCATAAATAAATAAATAAATAAAATAAATTTCGTCTCCCGACCTGTTTACAGAGATTCCAATTTATCAATTTTGTCTGAAATTTCCATTTCACGCGTTTTTTTCCCTTTCTTTTTCTGTCACGGAAGAGCACCCAGACATCTAACTACTCTTTCCCGTCTTTCTCTGTCTCTCTCTCTCTGCTAGTGAAGCGAGCGGGTATGAGCTGCGGGTGTCGTTCCAGAAACCAGACAAGCAAATTGTTCCCAGTTTTATTATCAACCCCACGTTGAACTCTGGACTGAGCAGACAGGTTCTGAAACCTCGTAGACCAAATAGATCTATCAAAGTAGCATATTGCTGCGACTGCCGATTTTTCTTTGCCGCATGAATTTCTCAGCGCTTAAAGTCAGAAAGCAGCACGAGAGAGACAGCGTCAGCGGCACCTGATACCTAACCATGACGGCAAACACGATCATGATGTGTTTCAAAGTAGCTCCCAGCTACGTTAGTGGCCCAGGTAGCGTTGACACGTTTTTCAGATAAATTCTGTATGTGGTAGCATCTGAACAGTGCATATCAGAAAACGTTAGTGCATGAATTTTCGTGATAAGGCGCAGGTAACATTGAGGTCACACAGCCGCAATGGTGCTGAATGCATCAATTATTTTGTTAAATTATTAATATATTAACATGATTAAAACTTCACTGCCGAACATTTTATTTATTAAATGATCAGATACTAACAGTAATACAGTATTTTAATTAGTGAGTATTTTAAGTGGACTTTAAAAAGTGGACCATATATTCAAACATAGGATTTTACTGGTAGCTTTATATGAGTTATTTCACGTACATGTCAGCTGTTCTGTGTGCTTCCCACCAAGGAGGTAGATACTAATGGATACTGGTACGACTCATTGTACCATCACCATCACTAAAAATAAATCACATAAATGTGTCACACACAATTTTCTTTCTTTCTGTCCTATTTTCATTTCTTTTTTCCCCTAAAATGTATTGTCAGTGTAATTTTTCTCATGAGAATCTAATTTCTTTTCTTTGATATTATAATTAATTGATTATTATTGGTTATTATTTCTCTTTAATATAGAGTTTCAGGCTAGACTGAAGAAAGCTGGGGAACTGGCTTTGGGGGAACTGTCCTCAGAACCCAGACAGTTGGAGGTTGCTAAAGACAAGCTGTTCATCTTTACTGGGACTTCTGGAAGGTGAAAATGGTTTCTCTCACTGAATGGTCCCTTCATTAAAACAACTAACTTGTAATTTAATTCTAGAGGAGATGCAAAAATTTCCAACCAAAAATAATCTGTAATTAATTCATTGAGAGTTTTGCTCCCAGTATTTATTATTTCTGTGTATGGTAAAATTATCAATTTTCAGTCATGCTGTTCTCAGAACTTATACGACTGGGCTTCTTACCTTTGATGTCCAGCACTTTGGAGAGGGGGACGAGTATGAATGGAACAATGGCAAATATGACATGGAGGTAACAACAACCCAACAGAAGTATGTTATGTGTGTAGACACAACATATATAGTACACATAAATGGCTGTATATTTTTTATTTCTCGGTGTGCATGGGCAAGTAGTGGCATGTACTGGTACTTTTTCCTGTGTTATACTGTATAATTTTTCAAAATCTTGATGTTTTTAGACCTTTATAAAAATTGTCTATGTACACTGAGGTTATTGACATCAAATATTTTTATCTGTCAGGTGGTTCTGAAACCTTTTTTGGGTATTAAAATGATATATTTTTGTCCAGGCTATCAAAAAATTGAAAAAGAACATTGAAGACCTTTTTGGTTCAGCAGTGGAAAATGCAAACAGGTGTGTGAATGATTAAGCTTGGCTTTAAAGTATGAAGATTTACAAATTCATTTGGGTGTTTCAAGGGTGATGACTCGAGTATTTAGTCTATATTATAGGTTGCAGATCTTTTGATGAATTAATAATAATTGAAGCTAGAATTGGGTACAAGTCACAGACAACTGACCATCAAATTGAACATATATATATATATATATATATATATATATATATTATTTGCAACTGTTATATCAAAAAACAATATACATAATTTCTTTCATTTCAGCAACGTATTTTATATGTAAACTTAAAAAAGCTATTGTATAATACTTAATGCACACTCCTGAACTTATTGCATACTTTATTGTACTTCATGTTGGACCCTCAAAAAAAAAAAAATATACGCAAAAAAATCTCTAAAAGAGTAACCCCTTGGTAATTTGTGGTCACTATGTATTTAACACAAAAACATATATTTTAGTCTTTATGCTCCCATTCGACGTGGTGGTCAGGTTTGGACCTATGGCATCACTGCAGATGAGAGGCTGATGGAGCCAGACTATGATAAAGTGTCCTTTGAGACCAACTCTCCATGGCAGAACATCAAGATCATGCACTCCAGAGAGCTTGGGAATGTTTTGTTGCTTGATGATGATATCAGTAAGTTGACATAAAGCTTGTAAACATTTGCTACAGTGTGAAAAAATATGTATAAAAACTTGCTACAATGTTTTTAAAATACAAGGGTGTCTTATGAATTTTAATTGTTTTGAAAACCACTGGAGGTTTACTATACAGTAATATAATACATGTAGAAACTAAGAGGTCAAAAAATTTTACACCACTTGAGCCATTAAGATAATTAAGTCCTAAAGAGAAACAATACTGTATGTTATGTATGGATGAGGAAAAGTTGGTTAACTTTCTTAGAATGTCTAAACTGTTAATTTTTAGGAACAGAACCAAAAAAAAAAAAAAAAAAAAATAGTTAAACTTTAAAATAATTGTTTAGACAGCATAAACTTACATAATAAGTGAAAATATGAAGAATGTATGGTAATGTGCACCTGACCAGTCAAGTGAAGTTAAAAAATGGTCATTTTTTTGGGTAAAACTGCTGGAGTAGTTATGGGTTCAGTGAGTTCTGAAAATAGGATGCTAAGATTTTTTTCCAGAATCCTTTCTGCAGTCCACTGATAAACATATATTGTGTATTTTAGTGCTTGGTGAGAGTGACTTAATCTACACACAAACGTTACTTGGTCTGGGGAACCCTAAGCGTGAGAACTACAAAGGCAAGGAGATTCTGATCCTTGGTGGAGGAGATGGAGGCATCTTGCACGAATTGTTGAAGGAGAACCCAAAATTTGTTACCATGGCAGAAGTAAATGGACCAAAGTTTCTTACTGATAAACTTAATTACTTAAACTAAGCATACAGAGCACTAAAAGTTTGTCACCCACAGTCTCTTTATTCTAAAAATATTTCTAAATATTTAATTTTGAGTAAATCAGTATGGTTGATTGTCATTACCAGTCAATCCACAAATAAATGACAAAATATTGGTATTGAAATTTTACACTGCTTTGGTTAATTTATACAGCAGTAACATAAAGGAATTAACTAATACAATATAAGATAATATAATGTACACTCTTTTTACATCAGATTGATGAAGAAGTCATCAAAGCTTGTCGTGTTCACATGAGAAGTGTTTGTGGAGACAGCATGGATAAATTTGAAGGGAATAACTATAAGGTAATTCTCATATGCTATTCTCAACCACTTTGGTAAATTTGAAGAGCGAAGTTTGTGAGCTATCTATCTTTCTATTTATATATCAAATACTGTGATGTTTAATCTGTAGCAAGGGTCTGAAAAGATAAAGGTATTGCAACAGTGAGTGCAGTGTTTTCACTTCACAGTGGTTGCAAATGACTCAAGAAAAGTTAATTTTAACATAGGCACATTGTCAAAAAAAATATATATATATGTTGGTTCCTAGTTATCCACCATTGTTCATTTTCATAAAATTTTTTTCGTGTTTTTTTATTGCCGATTCACCAATTTTTTCCTTTCGGGGAAATGGAGCATTAAGCTTCAGTACAACGTGCTCTTTAATGTTTGTAGATCATCATTGAAGACTGTATCAAGGTTATGAAGGAGGACCTAGAGCAGGGCAAGAAGTACGACTTTGTTATCAATGACTTGACAGAATTTCCGGTAGATAAAGAAAACTATGGTGAGCATAGTAAGGATTTAACTTGGGGCCAATTTCACACAAAAAGTACAAAGTATACAATGCTCATTTTACCAAGGCTTTCCCCAGAGAGTAATCCAGTCGTCATTTGGACAGCCATTAGCCACAAAAGACGGTCTATTTTTCCAAAGACAGCTGGACAGCTTTTAAGTTGTTAGGTTGGTTGGTTGGGCTTGCTTGGGTTGGACTCCCTGTAAATGGACGGCCTAAATACAGAGTCACATTTTGGACTTTCTGCACCCCAAATCTATGAAAACCACTGCATAAAACCTTTTAAAAAACTTATCCAAAGCCATTGAGAAAATTATGATATGTAAACTTGTTTTCTAATTCTAAATTGATTGAATTGATGAATTGTTGTTTGACATTCATATTTCCAGGATTTGCCTATGATTTCAAGACCACCCACTTGGTGATGGAGCTGGCTCTGCAGCTGCTTAAACCTCAAGGAAAGGTTCTGGCAAGGGTGGGTATTACATTTTACTTCACATGATCTCAACATATTGACAAGCTGTGTCAATTAATTTTAAGAAATTAATTAAATTCAGACTTTTCAGGGTAATGATCTTGACTTCAGTTTATGCATTTCATGAGGGTATTTTTGAAATAATTTCATAAGGACCAATGTAGAAAAATACAGATTTTTGTTTTTATTGTTTTTTGATATATATATATATATATATATATATATATATTTTTTTTTTTTAAGGTAAAAATTGGATATTAGGTTTTATTCAAATAATATAATGTAGGTTTCAGTAAGATAATTGTTTTGTATAATGAGCAGTTGATTGCAATTTTTATTTAATAGAGATTTTAATGAAATGATAAAGTAATATCATGACATTGTACATAACAACTGTCATTTAGTTTATTTTTAGGAAATTAGTACCAATAAGTGGACAGCTGTAGAAAACTGATAAATTTAGTTGCTCAAAGTTCAAGGCATTTACCATTATCTTTAGGGCAACAGTAAGAGTGCTGTGGATTACTATCCGCTAGTCGATGAAGATATTATCAAGCTTGGTGGACAGTTTAAGCGTAGAGATGCTTACGTGCCATCTTTTCGTGAAACGTATCCTTTACTTTCCCTCAAGGCAAGTACTTGCATGCATGATAGATGCATGCATACGTAATGGATTCATTCAAATTAATCAAGTCAAGTAAGACATTACAAAATTAACAATCACATTGTTCTGTGATGTAAACTTTTCTGTAAATTAATTTGTATTGAAGATTGAATATATTGTCAAACATGTGCAACTTAACATTTAACTTAAAATTTGTCTTACTTAACTGTTTCATCAGATACTGCCTTTATGAAATATGGAAGGTTTAAACTTGCTGTGGGCAAAGAACCAAATAGGTGCAGAAGCTTCCTGTTTATAAGAACCTAGAAGACATAATTTTTCTTTAAGTTTTAATATGAGTCGGTATTCATTAGTGATTTTATCTTTATTTTACTTTCAGTCAATATGAACTAGATAAGTTGGTTTTTAATTTTACTTCTGCTATGAATTACAGCATTACTTTTAGAAGTCTCATAGATGGACATAAATAGACATGGAACACGTTTCTCTTACATTTTCATTTTGCATTATTCTTAATTTGCTTCATTCTTTTAATCCAAGAAGCATGATGCACTTTTATGTGAAGAAAATATGCAAACTTTTAAGTTACTTGTAGATTTATCATCCTCTACAATGATTAGAATAAAATTAACTTTGGCCCAAATAATGGCAAATTTAAAGATATATATAAACCTTTTATATATTTCATCACATCCCTTACAGATTTGCAGTAAACTTTTTAATTTGGAAAGTACAGAAAGAAATATAAATCAATTAATTCAGAGAAAATATAACAGTTTGGTATATCAGTTTTGTTTTACATTTCAATTTCAACACTTTGGAAGAGTGCTGAAAAGGTTGCAAGATAATGATAAATAAATGACACCAATTACAATAATTGAATTTCCTCAAACTGATTGAACATTATCTTGTATGCTTTCTTTCAAAACAGACTGACTTCAAGTCCAATGTCCACCTCTATTTTGGTTGTAAGGTCTCTGGCCTGGCCTATCATTATAACTATTGTATCTTTGTTGATCTCGTCTCCCTTCATGAAAATGTCTGTCTTGTCCTTGCCTGTGATCATGATGATGATGATAATTCTGTCCATGTCTGTCACTATATGGATGATACCTGTCTCTTTGCCTGTAATCTGAGTGATGCCCTCTAGCTCCACGGTGCTGGTTATATCCTCCCCGACTGTAATCAGGCCTGAATAAAAAATATTGGATAATTAGGAAGAACACAATATACACAAAGTGATGTTAAATAGATATTTGTCTTCTATATTTTCATGTAACAGTGATGAAAAAGTAGTGTTTCAATACCAACATACCATATGCTCTTACGCAATTTAAAGAACATTGCTTTTAACAATAGGCATTTTCCTACTCATGTAATATTTCTTCCAACTACTTCTGGTATACATGATAAATGTGCTCAAATAATTTTTGATAACTGAAAAAAATCGGTGTGGAAGAGGATTTTACACCTTAATGTGTAGCCTCTGTTCCAATCTCTGGGTTTCAAAGAAACTACTCGTATACCATATGATGTGAAAAAATCAAATGTCCAATCTGCTTTCCTGCTAATATTATTACATGATACAGAATAATCTCTGGTGTAATACATCTGATAATACAACTTATCTACCTATTCCTGTCATAAGCTCGTTTAGGCTTGGAATACCAATTCTCTACACAAGGCGGGTCTGCAAGAGGTGTGTTTAAGGTTGTCATATAATCTTCATCTTGGTCTGTGTAACGGTGCCTGAACAGATCTTCATACAACAACAGCTTCTCCTCGATGCTTTGGTCTCCCATCCTGAAGAAACGTGCAAAAATACATGCATAAACATACTGTACATGAACACTAGTCTACCAACCATAAACAATAATAATTGTTAGGAGACAAAAGCTGTAAGAAATACAAATATCTTGCTTTAATGACCTGTATCCCTAAAAATTAAATTTAACTGATTAAAAGGCTGAAACTATCTTAAAATTATCTATTGTGTTGCATGCATGATCGCAGCATTGATGCCGATGACGCAGTTGTGAAGTTGCAAAACGTACGGGTTTCATTAAAAATACGAATTCTTTGTCAACGAAATGCTTCTTTATCGTATCTGTATTAAAAAAAGCCAAATTCACCACTTCTGGCATATTGCAGAAGGGTATTTAACAGTGTATTTTACCTTAATGAATCAACGTGAGCTTGGTGATTCCCTTGAAACTGCAGTATGAAGATGTCGCTTCATTCAAGAGGTGCTTGAAAATGAGACCAAGAATAAGCTTATAGCGCCATCTATGAACGAGTCACAAGACGAGAGAAAAGTTACATGAAAGAGGATGCATGATGTTTCCTACCAGTTCTCAGAGAAAGCATTGGACTTTCTGTGGCGAAACAGAATTGAATAGACTTAGGACGGAGACGAATAGGAAATATCTAGAAAAACACGCCAAAAAGTTCAAGGTTTGTATGCTGACTTGCTGATGACCTCGCAATTTTCTTCTGCAACTTCCCGCAATCAAGAATAAATGTAAAAATTGAGAGGCAGATAGAGTAATAGCCCCTGGAAGTCTCCCGTTACATTATATTATATTCCAGAATATAGAATAGAGTGATAGGACGGCCGTGGTTCACCACTTATTTTATGACTGAGGCAATGACTAGGACCCTAAATCAATTATCATGCTGATAATAAATAAAAAAATGGTTTTATACAGTCCATGTTACTCAGTATATTCTGACACCTTATGAAACAGATATAACATAGGTCTCTAGGTAAAAATAGAAAGGGGACCATGCATGGATTTACATGTATGTTGATGGACGTATGAGATTTTGGTATGTATTCTCTATTTGTCTATTTTCAGAATAAAGACGATGGCACAAGTTTTTTAGACTTAAAGGAAGAAAGGATTTTACTTCGTCACTATGAATATGCTCTCAAAGAATTCTGTGCACGCTTCCAAGATTCTGGACCACATGAAAATAAAGTTATTGGGTTGCCAAGAGAAGTTGTGGTATGCATTTGAGAAAATAATGTTTACATGCATTTTTGAGTTATAAACAATAATTTTTAGAAATTAAAACATTTTGAGTAACTGTTTTCTGTTCATATTAGTAAATGCAGTAGTAGTAGAAAATATTGCATGTATAAGACTAACAGAACATAACTGTTTTAAAGAAGATCTTTATTGTTTTTTTTTTTTTTTTCAGGGAACAGCTATTAACTATATGAAAAGGTTTTTTCTCAATAAGTCAGTAATGGATTATCACCCAAAGGATATAATGTATGTATACCCTGATGGAGAAATTCATACTGCCTTTATCACAATCCATCTCACCTTTCTTCTAGACTAATTAAAGTGTAAAAGCCACTTGCACTTGTTTAATATTATTTGAAAATCTTACACCCTTGTAGAATGAATTAAATCCATACAGTGGAAACTTTTGTATTAATTTACCCTCCTTTCACAGGTGTTGGTATTTTATGGTTGTTGGTTATATTCCAGGCTTACCTGTGTATATTTGTCAACCAAAGTAGAAGAAAACCATGTTTCTCTCAGAACCTTTGTATCTAACATAAAAGGAGACCCTGATAAAAATGCTGACATTGTCCTCTGTTTTGAACTTTTACTAATGAAGGAGCTGCATTACCACATGACAATACACAATCCATTCAGAGCATTGGAAGGCTTGATTATTGATGTGAAGGTGAGGCAAGGAGAGTAGATATGTCAGTCTGTATTGTTTTGCTATTGGTCTGAATCATCTGAGTTAGCCTAGAATGAGAACCTCGGCATGTGAGGTGGGGTTAGCTTTTAAGCTATAAGGGTGAAACTGTATGTACCAAGATTTTTTCTTTGGAAGCAATACAAAGGTGACATGCAAAACCTGGTGAATTCATTCTGTTGTGCATTAGACTAACTTAAAGAAAACAAGAAAAAATATTTGGGGAAAAATTCTGTCAGCTTTTACTTTTTGCTGCATGGCACTTTGTACTACTACTGCAGTATGCCATTATATCTAACCCCACTCTACTCCAAATCCTCCGTTGGTTTTATGCTAAGACGAGGCTTTGGGCTGTTTTGGATTATACCATTGACAAGCAGATGTGGCATCATACCAATTAAAACAGGATTCTTTGAAATAGTTGATAGGGTGCAAATTCTATTTTGGACAATTTATGCCAATTGAAAAATTTAAACAATTATAATAAACTGCTAGTTGAGTCACATTGGTGAGGTTTATTGATAAATAAATGAAATAAATAATAATTCTAATTAAAGATCTGTCGAATGTGCTACATACTTAATTATCTAGCCTATTTATTATAGACAAGATGCAAAGCTGTTCAAGCCATGCCCACAAAAGATGTTGAAAAATTAAGGAAGGGGGCATTTGACTTTATTGACCGCTCCTTAAGTACAGATGCCTGTCTAATATTTGCTCCATCACAGGTAAGATAATGTTTACTCAGTGTGTAAGTTAGCCTTCTTGTAATCAAGTTGTTCAGAATTCCATATAATGCACAGTGTTGTGCTTCTACATTTAGCTGTCACTAAATGTCAGTAAACTTTTTATTAATTTAACAAGTTTTTATGAGTGGTCAAGCCAGCTTGGGCAGAAATTAGTACATGCCATTTTATCATTGAATGAAGTGGATTCATTGTAGATAAAATCACTATATCTGTAATTCCATATTGATAAAAAATATTTGAAAATGGTATGGTAAGGTAAATGTTAGATACAGCCTTGAAAATATTTAAATTTCAATGTTTGTGACAGTGTTTATATTTTATATTGTACAATATGCAAATGAAGATGAATTATGATAACTTAATTTTACAGATTGCTTTGGCTGCTTTACTTGCAAGCGCAAGTGAACAAAAAATTAATTTAGACAGGTAATTACTGTAATTTTATTGTTGCTTTTGTCTTTCCTTTTTCATAATTAATTGGCTATGAAGTCTTTTTTATCATACAATTACTGATAGTGGATTCATTGGATATATATCTTTATTTTCTGTGAATCTACATAATGGAATAGGTCTTCATGTGATTTTAATAAAGTGAATAATGTCAGTCTTTATATTAACCTGTATGTTGGTCACAGGTGTTTTCAGGGGGCAGTTTCGTGAAGGAATAAAGACTGAAACCTAGCTTTTAGCTAAAATGTTGAAAAATTTGGTTCAGCTAGGAAAAAGCTAAGGAAAAATGTCTGCCTTAAAGCCTTTTGTGAAATCTGCCCCAGATGTTCAGGAACAGCATTGTCTAATATGTCGTTAAAAAAAAATGTTAGCCTGAGTTGTTTTATCTCCAGCTATGTAACAGAAACCCTTTTAATGTCTGAAAGCCAAGAACATGTGCACAAAGTGATAGAGCAAGTTAAAAGTAAGTTAAATATCGAGGACAAAATGCCTTAGATTGAAATGAAACGAAATTATAAGCTTGACTATGTAAATTGTGCATAAAATGTAAAAGAGTATTGTAAGCTTTCTAGTGCAGCTGCAGTCTTCTTCTCACTGTCACACTTAAATAAGTTTTACAAGAGTTTTCAAAGTTAAATTTTATTTATAAGTCATCCTGGATAATTATATGGATTTACTTCACATATAAAAATTATGAAAGCACTTATAAGGTTTATTCTTTTCTACTTTCCTGTGCAAATACAGGCAGCTTTGCTAATTATTTCTTTTCATTGGCCAGGAATCCGTTATATGGTGAAACATATCGAACCCATAAGTAAAGAAGATGTGAGGAACATACATAAAAAATTGATGAAGTGTAGAAACCAGGAAAATAATCCAGAAAGTGAAGTGTGAGTGTAATATTTTTAAATGTCACCTTTGTCGATTTTTTGTAATCTCAATAAAAGGCAAAAGTTTTACATTTAGCTGTGTCAGATCACAATAAAAGCAAAAATGTTACATATGAGTGCAAAACTTTTTAATGTACATTTACAATTAGTTCCAGATCAAATATATGAATGTATACATACTTTTGAAGGTTTGGATTTATTAAAAACAATTTTGTCCCACAAAAATCACAGAGACTGTACATAAAGCACATATTTTTTCAATATTATTGAAGTGTTATTATTATTATTATCCACCAAATTATTTTCCTCCACCAAAGAGATTGTTTTCACCTCTGTTTGTCTGTTTGTTTGTCACCAGCATTACTCAAAAAGTTATGAATGGTTAAGGTAAAAGTGATTTGATTTTGGTTAAGATCCATGAATTAATTAATTAATGGATAATTATTAGACTAAGTTTTTTATTTATCTTGGCAGAGGTCTGTGCTCTGAGTGCTTTTTTAGTTGTTGTTGTTGCACTTTAGCTATAAAAGAAAGATGGATGAGCTGTTAGAGGAAGAGGAGGAATACCAGTCTCAAAAAAGGGCTAAAATTGCAGAGGTAATTGTAATGTATACATTTTATAAAATAGTCAATTATTTTTTTAAGATGTTAGCTAATTGCCTTTCTTATGTACAATAGCATTAGTGAGTTTTGTTTCTCCAGCAAAAGAGCACGTTTATGAATGATATGAATATAAAATTATGAAAGCAAAACTACATACAAAAAATTTAAGTAATTGATCCATTTCCTCTTTTTCAGGAAGAAAAACTTGCTGAGAAAAACCTTGTTGGTTTATGACACAGACAGAAATTGTGGGAATTATTGTTGAATCATACTGAAGCCATTAGTGAAATAGGTTCAAAAAACATGATTGAACAACGGAGGCAGACTTGTAGGAGACAAAGCGATAGATGATACTGAGCTGTGTCTGTGCTTTTTTTTTTCTCTGATGCAGAGAAGTAATTCCATGTAGTATTAACTATCATATATGTTTAACATCAGGGATAATCAGAAACTGAGCAAATTAATTCTTCAGATGTTGTGGAACCCATACAGGATTTTACTGCAACATAAGTACCAAAAAATGACAAAAAGGATCATCCTAGCATCAGACCCGATTTCCAGCCTTTATTGATCTATCTGATATAACAGTGTATCTGCTAAAATATTTTTTGTAAATATATTTAAAAGATATAGTAAAGAATGGGAGATCATCATGGCATTTGTCTTACTGATCCTGTTATTACACTAATGTTGCCAAGGCAAAAATGCTGTATATGCTGATAATGAAAGTATCAGGTTATGTGGCAACCTTCATGTACAAGTATTTCGCATTTCAGTGCCCTGTATAAGTCCACTGAAAAAGACCTTTGCATTGGATAATAATTTAGTTGAGAACTGTTGTGTATTATATTTATTTATACCAAATCTTTTAACTGAAAGTAAGAGACATGCTAGATCAATGTTTAGTGGACCTTATTTACAGATGGTCACTTCTAACATTAATTGCTTATACTGTGACAGTAAAGAATTTAGAGAAGGACTGGTGATTCTTCATGTAATAAAGCATACGGAACATGATTTTGCGTGGCTGGACCTGTCAGTTTACCTTACATTGAAAAATTTATCAGAATCTTAATCTACTGCTTGAGCTTTAGGTCCCTGCCCCTATTTTATATTCAAAATGCTAGTAATAGTCAAAAAGGTAGGTCAATGAATTATTTCACAAGTGAATAGTTGATTGAGTGAATAAGACTTAAAATGGGGAAGAAATTAGGTACCTTGGTTTAAAACGACTAATAATGAAGAGCGAAGACACGAATTGTGGTAGGTGCTCCTGTCACACCCGCCCAGCACATCTTTTCCAAAACAGCTGTAGCAGGTCACGTGACAACCACTTGCAAGACTGTCCTCGTACGGCTGAGGTGACAAAAAGCATGAGGTAAGATCGCAGTTTTCTCACAATTCTCATTAGTATAAATTCAGACCAAGATTCACACAGTGTGCCTAGGTAAGTGTACTTCAATTTACCGGTTTCGTTTATGGTGTAGCTCCCTTCCACAAGGGGACAACATCAATCCATCTCGGAGTGTTGACGAGCTACCACCAAGTTTATTACTGGGGTCCTATATGCAACACATGGTGTATTTTAACATTTTGTCACGCCCGCGGCAGATGTGATCAGCTGTTAGAGAATGCTGGGGAGAATTATATGCTATTAGAACAGGGTTTTTGGAAATTAAGCAGGCGTGTATATTCATTTTCTCTACAAGTTTTAAACTGATATCTTTGTTAATGTGCCATGTACCCAGAATAATGTAGAATGTAAACATTTTGTTTACAGTTTATATATGAATAGTGGGCAATTATGTAGATACTGATCAGGTTAAGTATCAGATATAAGCGCATTGTGATATCGGATCTTATTGTATTGATGGTAATTTGTACCCACTTCAACTTTTCTATCTTTCTTAACATCAGTGGATACGAATGAAATTACCCCCCCCTACACACACAAACCAGGTCCTGCTCTCTTACTTTAAACAACCTTCTAATGAGATATATATCTAATGATCCTTAGCAAATGGCCTGACATTAACAGTTGTTAACATTCCCTCACCGTTTGTGTATTGATATGCTATAGATCTAGTCAAGCTCTATATATTATTGAAAGAGCAGTTGTTTGACCATTTTTTATAGTCTAAAACTTTTATTCTTTATGATATATTTGGACATCTTGGCAGAGTAACACTGTTTTCAAGGAATGTTCACTATATATCTAAAAGGAAAAGTCTATACTAAAAATACTGTTTAACTGTTCACAGGCTTGAAACATAAAAGTAAAGGAATGGGTGGTTGAAAAAAAAACAATTACTTTCTTTATTTTGACATAGTTTAATACTTGGTAAGTACATTATGGAGAACCCCATGGAAACTTGTTATTCCAAAGTATAACACGCAGTCCCTTTAAACAATTTCATGTGGAATGAAATAGATATTCAGAGAGCCTTGAGGAATAAGTTGGTTTGAAGAAGTTGAGCAAGAATATTTAAGTAAGCTAACTAAATTGTCTTTAAGATTTGGCAAAGCAAGAGCCATGCCTACAAGAGCCATGGCATTGTTATTGTTAATATGATATAAAAAAGATTTCAAGGCCTATATATTTAATATTGGCAGAGTTATTACATTTTTTCACAAGGCCATGTTAGACCCTGAGATTTCTACTTGTTAAAGACACATGGCCTACAGTATGCATCCTATGTGATATATCATTGTCATAGTAGTATACTCTGATACATAATGGGGAGACATTGTATTAAAATGTCAAATAAGTCCTGCGGCCAGCAATTTCATACAGGGGTTCTTTTTCTAAAAAAAAGAGGGCCTTTCTACCTACATAGTATGTTGACCCAACTTGAAAAATTTTGTGCCAAGGCAGTTCCTTTCTACCCAAATGGTGGCTTTTTCAACCCCCCCTGCCCCCCCCCCCCCCCCAACACACACATAATGGAATAGAAAATACCTGTAAACTCCAGAAAGTATTAAAAAGTAGTGTTTAGATTCTTTAGTTTCTCTTTGTAATATAATATCCTTATAGTTCATATGTTTCATTTGCTACTTATTTATTTATTTATTACCCTTTTTTAGGCTCTTACTTAATGTATCTGGATTCATTGTTTGTATAGTTTTTTGAAAGTCTGCAATTGTTAACTGATTTTTTCAAACTTAAAATCTTCTTTTTTTTTTGCATCTTCATCTCACGAGAATAGCTTCTTCTTTTGTGTCGTTTGGTATAGCCTGGTGTATACAGAGCCATCAAGGGTATGTTTACATTCATAACAAATTTCGTTCTTGAATAACCAATGGAAACTGCCCAGTTTCAATAATAATACCTCTTAAAGCAATATTAAAACAGGATGCTTTGGTACTCAGCGAAGGCTGGTTCATCGTCAATCGATGACCTTTCTAAAAAGGATTAAATTGCATTTTGTAGACAAGTAGCAATGACTATAAATACAGGTATATAGAGCTGTCATTTATGTCTGTGCACTGAATGCTTTGTCACAGTTGATGCCATGCATTTTTCTTGTTACTATGACTACTAAAAATTAGGGGCTGTTTTGCACAAGAGTAAATTGTTATGAATATTTGTAAACTCAGGAATTAGGCCTGACTGAATTACTTAAAAAATGTTTTCATGATTTTTTGCATGTTTTTTTATTATTCGTATGTTGCTGATTTCTGTGAAGCCTAGCCAATTCTATTGTAGACTAGCACTCTTCAACCTATAGCCAAAGACCGCATATTTCTGCCAATAGTGGCAAGTGCTTTGACAGTTACATGTAGCCAAGTTTGGTCTAGCTGTTTCTTATTCTCAAGCTTAAATCTAGGCCCACTTTTCCATTTATAACTTCACAAGTGTTAAAACAGGTACATTACCTCAACATCCCGCTTATAAATTATTGACCTATAGACTTTTCCTTTTAGATAGATATAGTGATTCAATGTATTTTACAGAATACTCCAAAATCGGTTGTGCAAAATAAACTTGGACACAATATATTCCGGGATTAATATTTGGGGCATGATATTAGCAAATGTGCCACATAAGATTGTAATAGAGTTACAGAAATCATAAATCATTGTGAATTATGGTATTCAGGGTGAAATATTTATTTTTCACATTGGTATGAGTAACATTACTTAGTATGATTATAATGATGCCTGTGGGACATATCAAGAATTTTTTGCCAAAGGGTATTTTTTAGCATGCACATTTTCATTCTCATGCTACAAAGTAACAAGCCATATTTCACAGAATGATTTTTCTAAATATGTAAAAATGATGCATGTACCCATTTAGAATAAAATGCTTCACTATATACTTTAAGGAAAACAGTCTTAATGGGAAATTTTCACAATGCATAATTCTCATTTGCAGAAGTATCTGCTACTGTTATTGAAGCCAAAAATGGCTAAGGATGGGAATTGAGTTAATGTGTCTACGTTTGAGTAATAGTAACTGCCTTGTGTCTCCAGTAATGATTGTATGTTTTATGTAGGGAATGAGGTCGGGCAGCTCGGCCCACAGTTCCTAGGAATCAATATTATAATGGGATGTTGATGACTGCTCTGACAATAGAGGAACTGAACTAATGCAATTCTAAAAGCTTAGAGCTATATAAATTCTCGACTGTGCACACAAACGTTTCTAGGGTTGCCTAGTCTTGCATAGTCTGCTGGAGGCTGTCAGGGTTTAGGTTTCTGCACAGAAAAATTGAGTCATCATCAGCATGTACTTGGAGGACTGGCCACCACCCAAAAAGGTGAGAATTTTCTGAATTAATTTTACCTGTCTTGAGATTAATCATGCCTCTATGTCAAACAGAGAAATTGATGGGTGGAAAGCATTGCATGTATTTGGTATATCCCTGTAGAAGTAAATGTGGACGGTAACACTGGTCAACCAGACTGATTAAGGTAAGTAGGCGGATTTATGTGTATTGTTGTTATTGTTTTTTTGGTGATTTTGATTTTAATGCTACATTACTCCATAGGCTATACTAGTATGTACATCAGTTGGGTTAATTGTTACTCTGAAAAATTGTTGTTCATAATTGTTATTTTTTGCATGCTCAATTTTTCTCCTTACTTATTGTGCTGTGAGTCATTTCACAGCTATGGCTTCTGTCAAGATGCATTTGCATTGATGTCACTGTTTAAATATTGTAATAGACTGACTCTACCTACTCAAAGATATGTTGCCTTGCATGTGAAAATTATACAGAATTCTTCTTCATTGATTTAAATCACTCTTGACTTGAAACATGTAAAACACCCCAAAAAAGTTAATTCCTTTGTGTTTATTACAAAAATGTTAATTTGTTGTTTATATATAAATTGCTTTCTGTTGGAGGAAATAAACTATTTTCTCTCTCTGTTTTTATGGGTAGTAATTTGTATACATCTCAGAAATGTATCAAAATTTCTACATTGTGCCTTACTTATGAAATGCAAATTGGTAAAAAATATTTTATCATTTTGAACAAACAATAAAAACAATAACAAATAACCTTGACATATTTTGATGAATTTTCTTATACAATTTGTCAATAACATATAATGTTCTCTCCCATCGCATGTGTTCTTAATTCCACTAGATCAGAAAAGAAGAAAAAATCCTGTTTCTGTATCTGTAACCTTTTTTTATGTGTGATAAGCCAGTGTTATATGTCTATTGATTTTTGCTATCTGTATTTTCAGTTTTTTCTCTCTTATTTCTTCTCAAGTACATTGGTTGGTGTTTAGTGATAGCCTGATAAGCTCTTAGTCATCCATGTAGACCACAGAGTGTTTGAGGATTCCAGGAAAACTTGCCAAATCATGGGGAAGGAGGAAGATGGAGAGGTATCAACTTCAAGCTCTTAAATTTCTGTGTTGTAAACAGGGTATATCTGTTGTCATGTAGGCTTGCTTTTTGTTGCAATTAATTGCATTGTCTATGACCACATTCCCATACCTAGATCGATCTAGCAGGATAGACTCATCTCCGAGGGGATTCTCACTAAATTGCTTTCAGCTTAAGCAGCTTAGATGTTTGGCATGCCTACTGAAGCTGCTAAATGATAATTAATTGCCCCCTAACAGCTTCAGTAGGCGTGACAGACATCTAAGCTGCTTAAGTTGATTGCAAATTAGCTAGAATCCCCAGTTAGTACGATAGGGTCTGGGAATAGTCCCTTACTCTCACTTGTGACTGCAGTCTATTTGGGCCTGTAGTCCAATTTATTACATGGCAATCTTTTCTAAAATGTTCTTACCCGGAAGTCAACTTAAAATAAGGGGGCTTTCCATTTGTTTGTTTGCACTTTTTTGTTGAAATGAAACCCTGGATATTTTCTGAGTTGATTGTTTCCATTCTCAATGAAATAATTATTCCCGGTGGATAAACTAGATTTTGATGCTAGTGCTATATTGATATTAACTAGTGGATCAATAGTTAGTCCGCATATAAGAAATTGATCTTTATTGAGTGTAGGAAACGGAGAAAACTGATTTACAGTGGTTTGGACCATATATAGGTAGAGAATTTTGGTAATAACTTTGAATTTGTATTGCTATATGTTGTAATTGTTTCTGATATAGAACTATGTGCTATTGGATTCTGTGTCATATTGTGTTCCGTACTGTTTCTGAGTATTCCATAGTAACATAGCTCATTAAAACATAAGATTTTTTAGGTATATGGTGACATAATATCTCACTTTTCCCATAAATTGGGTTGTATATTAATAAGTGTGATAAATATGTAATGTTATAAAGTATTTAGTACTGATAAATATATTTTTTTATAATTATTTTCTAGATGGCATTCCGATTGCGGAGTTCCAAGTTCCGTCATGTGTATGGGAATCCTTCGCGCAGGGAAAACTGCTTTGAAAATATCAAAATCTCCAGGAATGCTCACGACAGCTCTTTTTGTGCTGTCAATCCCAAGTTTGTTGCTATAGTAACAGAATCTGGAGGAGGAGGAAGTTTTATAACCATTCCAGTGAACAAGGTAGTATATTTATTTCTGAATTCTGTTGCTTCAGATGCATAGGCTTTTATTCAGAAAACATCCACTCAGAAAGTCACTTAAACCTCCCTTTTATCAGTAATTTATAGTATTTATCCATTAATCCATGTCGGATAAAGATGTTAGTATTTCAGACTGTTTTCAGAATTGCTGATGTGAATCTTAATGAATCTTTGTGCATCTATGCATTACTTCTATCTGTTCACCTGATACGCTTCATATTGCATTCAGTTAACTGCCACCATTACTCCATCTATCTATCATAAGCTGGGCGTCTAGTATTGCTTTTGATCAATGAATTGTGCAGGAACTGAATCTGTATAGAAAAGGTCCCAGGATCTAATAATCAATAATGGTGTGACCTAGCTATGCAGCCTGGTGTTTGTTATTTGTGGTTTTGTTTTTAAGGGTTGGACTTGAATATATGAGAAATGCATTTGTAGAATTAAGGTGCAGGAAGATTGAAAGAAAACAAAGGAAATGGAAATTTTATATGAATGTTTCTTTAAGAATATTGTAATATTGCACATAACTTGCTTGTATCACATAAGAGCAATAACATTAGATGTTTCTCTCAGTGGTTTTAATTTTTAGATGTAAAAGGGTAAATTTCTACTTTAAAAAATGAGTTTGAATGATAAAGGATGTTACTTTACCAAGTATATTTGATATTTTTCTCTCAGCCTGGAAGAGTGGAAACAAATTTTCCCAAAGTTTGTGGTCATAGAGGGCCAGTGCTTGACATCAAGTGGTATCCGTTTGATGACAATATCATTGCCTCTTGTTCTGATGATGCAACAGTAAGTGGTTTTTATCTTATTTCCTCCACCAAGGAGGTTTTGTTTTCACTTCTGTTTGTCTGTTTGCCTTTCAGTTCATCATCAGCCTCACTTAAAATGTTACATATGGATTTTGATGAAGTTTTCAGTAGAGATCAGAAAGGGTCTGGTTTTTGTAAAGGTTTTCACATTCAGACAAGGCCCTGTGTTTGTCTTACTTCTGGACTGAAATTTTGGTCTACTTTAGATAAATCACTAATGGTTCAATTGAATGAAATGTTGCACCTGATTTATTGAAGAAATAAATGACCAGTGTTATGTACAATATTGATTCTATCTTAATTAAAGTAGCAGACTACTGCTGATTTATCTTGAATTCAAGTAAACCTTAACTTCGTACAGTGACTGAAGACTACCTGTCCTTTAGTTTAAAGGCTGTTTTACAAAAGCTGCTCCAGGTGTGGAGAGATTATATTTCAGTATATGATATATCTCTCATATCACAGTTGCTCAAGAGGACATGTTTGATAAGCATTATCTACTCAGGTGGGATTATGCATTCAACAAAGGAATGGCTATTTAATATCAGATCTCAGCAATAGGAAACAACATCTACTAAACTGTATACTAGTACTTTGGGTTTCACATGATGACTCAACTGAAGGCAGTGATATTTGATTATTATGTTAATCAATGACCATGGCTCAGTATAACTTCTGTTTTGTTATCACGTCTGCGGCACTGAGCTGCATTCAGAGCTAATCTATAGTGTCAAAATCATCAGTTATTGGTTTTTCTTTCATTTGCTGTGCAATATAAATGAAATAGTAAAATGTTTCAGTTTTATTTCACTTATACAAATATGTAACTTGCAAGTTGTCTACCAATCATAAGCTTCCATGTTAAACTTAATGTTAATATCTAAACAAAATATTGCCCTTTAGAAGAAAACTGATATACCTCAGAAAATTGATCGCTAAGGATGTTCCCATAACTTAAAGTACGGGATATGGTTAATTGCATTATTTTGCCTAAAGATGTAAATGTTCAGGGTACAATATGTTGCTATGTAAGAAGAGTGCAGTAACAGATGTTTTTTTTTTAGACTTAAAGATCTATGCACTAACCTAATGCTTAATGACAGCCATTTTTCAAGATTTTTTTCAATATACAAGAACATGAAATCATTGAGTTGAAATAATACACCTAGCACTTGGGATTATGCTTGCATGTTTAATAAGTGCCACAGGGGTGTTCTGATAGATAAGAAAATAAACACTTTGCTGCACTTTTCTACAGGCAGTGCGAGATATGTAAAATAGATAAAAAGTAGGCTTATTCATATATTTTCTCTAGTTATTGTGGAGCTTAATTACTGTTATTAAATTCAAAATTATGATATAGTTTTAATATGAAATCAACGTAAGTAATGACAGAATATGAGATTTGTTTATCTGTCAATCTGTAGTATGTAGTTATTTCTTTTCATAATCTTAATATTCATTTATTAATTCAAGTAATGGACATCAAATCAAATGTATGTAATGTATTAAATATAGAGAAAAATCTGTATGACAACAAGTAAAAATGTATACCAGGTTGTCAACTCAGTTAAAAATGTATCAAATGACAGGTGAAATTTATGTTATCACAGTTAAAGTATTATATAATCAGGTAAGGATGTATCTGATTACAGGTAAAAATTTGGCAAATTCCTGATGGAGGCCTAAAGACTAACATGACGGAGTGGCAGGTGGATCTCCATGGTCACCAGAGGAGGGTGGGTTACCTGGAGTGGCACCCCACTGCCGAGAATATCTTGCTCAGTGCTGGCTTTGACAATAAGGTAAACTTGGACTGAGATAGGGCTGTAGCCTCAGGTGTTTCCAGTGTTTTTTTTATTTTTTAAACTAATCCTGTGCCAAAACTTTATCAATGTTCCTCATTTTGTATTGAGATTGCTGCTGAATGTGGCATAATATGTTTCTACAGTTCTGTGTATGGATAATGAATTCGAAGAATATTTAACTTGCTGTATTTGGTATGTAAATCTGTCTATATAATTTTCTTATTTATTCAGTGTTGAGAATTACACACACACACAAACACACACACACACACACACACACACACACACACACACACACACACACACACACAGAATCCTCATTAGAATTCATGAAGATCAACATGGTATGTAAAAGGAAAAAAAAGCCTTATTCCAAAGCACACATATTCAATAAAGGGGGCATCACCTCTAGTTCTGAACTACAAGTACAGATAAAACAACTGCTTGCAGATTTATACTCATACATAATAACATTTTATGTTAATCTGCTTCATAATATTTAACAATCACCATCAAATTAAACGTGAACAAGAAACAAGGCTGTAGTTGCCCTAGAAAGCTTACAGTACTTAAATGACTTTTATCTAAAGTTTCAAGGGTATTTAATATAAATTACTCAAACTGTGATTCTAGTCATAATGAGGCTGTCTGACATTGCCATTCAAAGTTCAGGTGCTCGTTTCAGTGCATTCTGTGGAACATTGAGACGGCTGAGCCCATCAACATCATTAACTGTCACAAAGACAACATCCACTCCATAAACTGGAACAGAGATGGCAGTTTGTTCTCAACGACATCAAAAGATAAGATGCTCAGGGTAGTGGACCCAAGGTCAGGAGAAACAGCAGCTGTAAGTAGACAAGCATTAAAATATTAAATTTCAGGGGCAGTAAGTCTTTATAAGACCATTCTACAAAAAAGGTTCAGATAGTTTTAGTGCTCAGAGCCTATTTGTGGGAACCTTGAATCCAAATGGTAGAATGAATAAGACTATATTTGTCATTGGCACAGTAAACTTGAATAAAAAAGCCAGGGCCAGAAAACAGTCTGTTTATTGGGAATCTGAAGATCTGAAGAAGAACCTTTGATATACAACCTGATGAAAAGACAGTTACTTTGAAATGTTTAATATTCCATGTATGGGAAAAAAACGACCAGTGAGAATGACTATTCAGGGATTTAGGAAGAAAGCTTAAGCATGAGATTAATAAATTAAATAGTATCATGAAGTAAGAACATTCCTTGGCTAGATCAGTGAAAAAGTATGTGACGGGGCATGTAAAGTTGTGTTTGCAAAGACCATTCTATTCTAATTTTCCAGGAAACAGTAGCCCAGTCAGGGCCAAGAATCTCAAAGTGTGTTTTCCTAGGAGACACCAGCAACATCCTGACCTGTGGCTTCACCAGAAGTTGTGACCGACAAATAGCATTATGGGATGTGGTAAGTTGCTTTTAACATGTGCATCAGTGCACAATTTGAATTATGGGTAATGATGTTGAGAATTTATACACAATTGTTGGGAATTACAGTGATGGATTGATGACATTCTAATCATTAGGAAAACAGTGATATTTATGTCTGTACTGTTGCATGATGAATGCTGTGGTTAGCTTTATTCTCAATAATCAGACTGTCACAAATATTTTTCACATTCTCTGATCGTATTGATTTGATTAGGGAACTTATTATCCTGGCCCGGGTGTATATGTATAATTAAGTGATAGTATAGCATTTAGTACCAACCGTCGTTTATTCACAATTTCAGTGGTGTGTTCACCCAAAATAAACCCTTCTTTCTATAATGATAATATTTACAAACACTCCTAAGGTGTTTATGACAACTTGAGATTTTTCAAATAATCTTTGAAAAATCAAGTATTATTTCTGCATGGTTGATTGTTATTTCAGCTGTTTCATTGTAATCATATGTTGTAATTGTTTAAGTAGAATTGTTTAATTATTGTGTAAGGCTTTTGAGATTCTAATGAACTTCTTTCTTCTTCTTCTTCTTCATATTATTTATACCTTTCAGAGACACTTTAGTAACCCTCTGAGCACAGAAGAGATAGACACAGCCTGTGGCACCCTTTTCCCTATCTATGACCATGACATTCGGGTGGTCTATCTCGCAGGGAAGGTACGTGAACCACTCGTCCCATGCAGCTGACCAGTCAATTAAGTGTTGGGCTAGTAAAATAATGGAATTTTTTCAAAGTTACTGTTCTGATTATGTTGGTGAGAATTTTGGTCATTGAAAGATTTCATCTTGGAATACTTGGATGTCATTTGGACTGGAAGTTTTCTGAGCTTACTTGTGGTCAGTGGGGTGGAAACTGACATCCTAAAGGACACTGCCTCATTTATACTATAGATTTTGTACTGAGGACAGGTTATTTTTAGTCTATATTTCAGACTGTTATATGTAAATATATATTTTTTAATGCTTTCAGTTTCATCACCTTCTGTTATTTCAATCTTTTAAACCAGGCTTAGCATTTTTTTTTCTTATATGTAACAATGTTTTATGCGAAAACTACATCCAGATTTTCATACTATACTGATGAACTTTATGATCATGCTATACCATTTTATTTATCCATCTAGTTGATCGGTTAAATAATCTATTTAATGAACTATCTATCTGTTTTTCTGTCTGACTGTAAGTTTCTCTTTGCCAAAAAAAATTGTATTTGAGTAAATTATGTCTGTCATTTCCCAGGGAGATGGCAACATTAGATATTTTGAGATCAGTGATGAAGCTCCACACATCCACTACTTAAACCAGTACATGTCTCCACATCCACAGAGGGGTATAGGTAAGGGCCACTTATTCTGGCACTCTCAGGGCCACATTAAGCTGGTGTTGGGCCCTGTATAATATAATATAAACATTATCCTCATCCATAGGCCCATAATAATAATAATGTACCATTATGGGCCTATGGATGAGGATAATGGAGATTTGTTTCTACTAATGTCTAAACTCAGGATATTTAATGCTGAGAAAATATGTGGTTTTTGGAGTACTAAGAGTTTCCCTTTTTTTTTAATTTCCTGTTAATTATTCATATTTCAGGTGTAATGCCAAAGAGAGGCCTAGACATAGCCAAACATGAGATAGCTAGATTCTATAAGCTCCACTCGTCAGCCAGAGGTGTCTGTGAACCTTTGTCTATGATTGTTCCTAGAAAGGTAAGGAGACATTTATCTTAATGTGTGCCAATTCATGAATCACATCTAGCTATCTGTCTATCCATCCCCCCCTCCCTCTCATATTATATACATTTTTAGCATAATTGTAGATGTGATATTTCGGTGTATTAAGATCAGATTTATATGTAACCAAATGCCTATTTTTTGAGGTAATGTCTGATATGCTTTTATTGATCTGCTATCAGCTGTCTATTTCAAAAGGCATAAAGCAAAGCATGGAATGCTGAAGAAGTTAAGATTGATGGTTAAGTAGATGGCAAGGTCTATTTTTGTTAAACTTTGGACGAAAAGTTATAAAAGTGCTGTATCCTTAAATGAAATTGTATAAATAGATTTACACCTGTTTATGAAAAATAATGGTATATTTTTTATCTGTAGTCTGACTCCTTCCAAGCAGACGTGTATCCACCGACTCCCAGCAGCACTCCATCTTTGACAGCAGATGAGTGGATCAGTGGGCAGAGTAGAGAACCAATCCTTGTCTCTCTAAAGGTAGTTTTCCATGCCAACTAGATATGCTAAGCTGCATTTACACTGGTCAAACTGGCCCTAATCTGGCACAAGCTACAAGTGCTCTAACTGAAGACGTCAGTTAGCTTGCATGTACAACATAACTTTTAAAGTTTTTCAGTTCAGTAAGGTTCATTTGGTGACTTTATTTGAACTTTCACCAGTTTAAGAAAAATGTTTTGAGAGTAGAGTGGGAAATAACAATACAGCCTGTTTTGTACATGCCTCTAAACAGACTACCCACTCCTCTACACGCTATCTTAAATGACTGCTACAAATAAACTGCTTGTCTATATAATGTGTGAAGAATAGAATTTTAGTGCTTTTTGCATACTAAAAAAAAAAGAGACAAATCTTAATTTATTTACTCTAAATTCCCACCAGTTTGTTTTGTTTAAATGCAGCTTGCGTATATTAGTGTGTGGATTCCATTTTATATATAGCTAGCAGCAAAAATAGCTTACCTGATTAGTAGACATATGCAGTGAAGATGGTGCATAGATTATGTAATGATCAAATGAGAAAGTGATATCTACTGGAACAAAAATAACCTGAGAAGTGACGTCTAACTGGCTACAGAATTGGGACTATTCATTTGTTTGATTCACCACCAGATGGCATCCTTGAGTGCAACAAGCCCCAGGAGAGATCTGTAATGAGGCTGGAGTAAGCCTAGTCATCATTTGTATTTTTTCCAATTGGTATCTTTTTCTTATGCTTTCATGGAACAAATTAAGCACAAGGAAATTCAGAACATCTACCTCTTAATCCATGCTTGGTTGTATGTTCAGTTCTAAGTAGTGAATTGTAATTTTCTCTCAACCAATATAGTTTCTCTTCTTCTGGTATGTAAAACTATCTTTCAAGTTATATGTGCTGATTATACAAACCTTTCTGAATTTGACTTTATTTTAACGGTGTTGTCAGAAATGTTTGATATGGGGCAAGCAGGGATCCAAAGCCATGAAAATAAAACATTTTGCAACATAAACATATTCCAACTGTTATGATACTGGTTTGAAAGAATTACTAAAACTTATGAAACAGTTTGAATTCTAATTTTAAAAGAAAATATTGAAAATGTCACTGTATCCAGCACTAGACGGTGTACAGTTCTACTTGCCTCGTACAGAACATCTTCTGTATCTCCTGTCGCTTTTACTGCATCATACTTGTGCAGCATGCTTAAATTATGATTGTTTCATCTTTTTGTGCTTTTGTGAAGGATGGCCACGTCTCCAATAATCCTGTGATTACCACTGCCAAAGCTGTTCAGAAAAAGGTAATCTTTATCTCATGCCTCTTGCTTAAGTGTACATGTATGCATGGTAGATCATGATCTTAAGTGTTATATACTATAATGCCCTTCAATCATTAGATTGGTTTGTTGAGGAATGTTGTCACATTCAGATCAAAATATGGGATTTGTATTTATAGCTAGAGCAACGTACAACACTTCCTTACTTTTAAGATTAAAGGTACTCTCCACAGGGCCACGGTACAAACCCCCCTCCCCCAATTTTCTGTGGGAAAATGAGGCAATGCATGTGATGCAGATGTCACTCTTTTAAAAATATTAGTACTGAATTAAAAACGGAACAAAACATCAAATCCGAGTACAGGGACTGTCAGGTCATGTAATTTGAGAGTAAGTGAAAATTGCTCTTTACCCACAAAAAAAATTATTTTGGCAGGTAAATCCCACAGAGAGGACTTTTAAGGAACCAGTTTGTGTGCTGTGTGACTCAAAGAAAAATTTTAACCAAAACTTTATAACTTAATGACTAAGATTAAGCCAGGTTATGTAGTGAATATGAAATCAGGTAGCTTATTTACTTAAAGTCGATATTCATTTTGAGTGAAACAAATCTTAGGATAATGATAAGAAATTATGTTATTAATATTAAAGTAATTTGAATCTACTTCAAAATGGCTAAAGTCATGTGAAATCCTTACTTTAGTGGTTAAGGTGTAATATGTGTGAATCCATAGCATAGCTAGAAGTGAAGCTGCCTTAGGTAACAACTAGAAGTCACGTTGCAAAGAGACATCAAATTTGCACAATACAGTTATTTTAGGTTAACAGCACACCTTTTTGAAACCACAAAGGAAAATGATTTTTTTCTAATTTCCTTGCATTTTTCTTAGAATTTTGGGCTCCTGTATCACAAAAAGTCTGCAATTATTTGGTTCAGCCTAGACTGCTAAGTTCAAATAGCTTGCTATGTCAAGGTGACTTTGCAACATTTGTTTTAGGGCATTTCACTAACAGTTAGACTGCTTAGATTAGTTGTCTTCTAATTGCAAGCTAAATACCATGGTTAGCACAGTAAGACCTGAAATGCTTATGATCAATCAATGTGATTGACTCTGAATATATCATTTAAAGCATTTTCTATTCAAAAGTTTTGCATTTTCTCTTGTTTGCTGTGTTTCAGTGGCCAGTTAAGCTTTAGCCTACTAAGGCAAAAAAAAAAGTGACATCAACTGCATCTCATGTTCATTGTGAAATGCAAAGTATGAATTCTGTTGACCTAATTAATGCACACTAACTCCACATGGATTCTTGCTGAATGCAACCAGTTTAAGCCCCAAAACTGACTTCAGAATTTTTGTGATACAGGACCCTAGCTAGTTATTTTTATGTCCTTTGATGTTATGTTTTTAGATAGATAGCTCAGGTTTGTTTATTTATTAATTGAAAACCTCTTTTTCACATAACCTTGATAAAGTTATGCTGAAAAAAATTTGGCAGAAGGTTTGATAGTTGGTCTGGATTATGTCAGATGTAAGACTGCATTCCCACAGATTTAGATCGATCCATCTGGATCGACCTAACTCCCTGGGGGCTCATGCTAAATTGCTGTCAGCCAAGCGCGCACAGAAGTTAAGTACCACCTTACAGCTTTTAGTGGGCAGGACAGACATTTAAGCCGGCTAAGCTGACAGTAATCTAGTGAGACTCCCCATGGGGATAGATCGATCTAAAATTTGTGGGAATGCAGTCTAAGACATGACAAAATATGTGCACTGTGTTATTTATTTAGTTTTCCGTTTACATCTTTATCATAATCTGTTGTTTATGAGTTTCTATTGTGTTTGTCCATTCTGAAGGTACGTAACACAGAAAATGTCGTGCCATCAGAGGGTTCTGATTGTTCCCCTATGAAGAGGGATACTGGTTCTGCCTCCACAGTACAGCGTAGACTCCACCCAAATCGTTATCTTACAGTTCCCCAATCCACTAATCCAGCCACGGAAACGAAACACAGTGATAGCAGACCAACTTCTACATCTTTTAAGAATTTAAAAGCAAATGAGATCAGAGCAGTTCCTGTAAAGAAATCACATATTCCAGAGCTCACACCACTGAAGCATACACACTCGTGGCCTACATTTTCCCATGTCCAGTCAGAGATCCAAAAGGTCGAGACTGAAATCCAAGCCATTCATTGCCACAGTCAGGATCTATTTGCACCTAGAAAAAACAACTCTGTGTCCATGAAGTCACCATCCAGAGGCAAACCTATTAGTCCAGGCCTTCAAACCTCCCCTTCCACGTCAGCTTCCCTGACATCCCTGCCCACACACAGGTGTCCCAAAACTCCCCATGGCCACAAATCTCATCCACACAAAACACACATCCGAATTCAAAGCCGAGGATTAGTTGTCAACAATTTGGAGTCCAGATCATCTCGGCCTAGTAACATAGCAAGGAGAAAGTCACCTAAAAGAAAAGAGAAGGTAGCACATAGATGTTTAAGTGTATTTTGTGCATCATCATCATCATATATCACTTGGAGGTGGGGCATGCTGGCACTTGGGGCAAGCAGATCTGGGACCTGTTTTGCAAAAAAAAAAAAAAAAAAATAAATAATAATTAAATAAATGATAATAATAATAATAATAATAATAATAATAATAATAATAATAATAAATACAGACTATTTAGGTGGATAGCAGTCGTAAGTGTTAAGTTTTAGTTGCTGAGCATTTGCAAACATATCAATTGACATACCCAAATGGGCAATTATCATTTTTGAGAGCAAACTTCATTGTCAAAAGACATTGCAGATTCATTCCTGAAAACCAAGAAAATATATCTTAAAGATAACTTGGATGGCTGAAACATTTAGCAGTCTTAGTTTCGGATGAATTTGTACTTGAGGCATGTTATGAAAGGAGCCCAAAGTGGTACAGACACAACTGTATGATTTTATAAGTGAGCACCAATGGTTCCCATTTCACTGTTTTGGCAGAGTAAGCTAGAGTTTGGAGGTGCCAGAGACCCAAATTACAGCTACCTTATGAAACTTATAGTTGACAATGTGCTGTTTGATTACTCTCTACCAGAGTCCAGCTACCAAGGTGAAGATGTCACATTTGTGCAAAAAATTCTTGCAGTAAAAGGAAATGTGCACATAATATGCAGATAATTGTCTGTGAATAATTTAGGAGGGGGATCTTCTGCATCTCTGGTGAGGAATACTTTTGGGTCTCCTCACATCAACTGTTTTGTTTGGAGAGAGAGAGAATAAGATACCTTCAAGACAGGGACAGGGAATTGTGCATAAGCTTGAGTGCATTGTAATCTGCTACTTAGGTATCTGTTTTCCTAGAGAACTTAGAGTGATGACAGTATTCAACCTGCGGACCAAATTCTGTGCCCATTACAAAGTATTATAGCATTTTAAAACACTTGCGCGGTTCAAGTATGACATGAAATTGACTTTTGGTCACATTTTCTGATAGAGATTGGAAATGAGTTCCTACTGGTAAATAAAGGCTGAATTCCAACAAAAGTGCAAATAAAATGTCAACTTAATTATTTTATAGTATGTGTACGTACCTTAGAAATAAACCCTGATGAGAGGGAACCACGCTACATGGTAAGATGCTGGTTGTGATCATAGAAAATAAGAAAAAAATAAGTCAGAAAAGGGATTGATAGACAAGGAAAAGGAATGACATTTAAAGGGAAAAAATATGTTATTGATGAAAGCTTCTTTTGTAAGCTGAATATTAACAGACAGCAGCACCATTTCAATATGCATTAACTATGATTTTTGAAATGATATAACAAAAAAAAAAAAAAGACTGAAGTTATTTATCTTATAGTAGGAACAAAGGATTATTATGTAGCCTTATGTTACAACCAGACATGAGCTTTTTCTGTGGAAAAGCGGAATTCCACGTTTTTAATTCAATTCTGATGGTTCCCGAAATTTGTCAGGGTTAGGTGTTGGGTCCCATGATAATTGTTCACAGTTTTTTTTCCTGGAAACCTAGGCTCATGTCTGTCTTTTACATTTCTGCAAAGTTAAAGACAAATTGCATTACCAATATAGCTTCCATGTGCCTATTACAACTGTTGTTCATCTCTTCAGAATTAGCAGAGATTTCAAATATTCATATGGATAGAGGTCTTACTGCAGCACTGTAGTCAAGATGTAACAACAAATTTTAATTGTGTTTATGAGAATATTGATTTTTTTTTTACGATCATCGATAATAGTTGTGGTATAGAAAAAGTATTTAATCATTTTGAGCTTTTAAAAATTCTATATTGCATAAACAGTACAATATGCTTGACTTTACACATTTTGACTTTATGGTACTTGCATGTGCTTATGTTAAAGTGAAGTAAAAAATAGTCATCATAAAGAATGTTTGATGTGCAGCCAGGAAACATGAATCTTATGTTAAGCATGATTTTTAGCACAAGTTATGATTGTTGGGGTCCTTTTTGCATGCCATATGCATGAAATCACTGTTACAATTTTTTAATTTTTTGTGAAAATTTAAGGAAAAATGGTGTTTCACTTCACCTTCATTTAATCTCTCAAACAAATCTATATCAGGAATAAGGGGACACATGTTATAATGGCATGGCAATCTTTCCAAGGCCCAGCCCCTTTTCACATTCAGTGGTACATTTAACTAAACTGATCCACTTTGAAAAATAAACATGTAATTATGCTACAGGGAGTTTACTACCTTTCACAAGTTCTCCACAAGTTGGCTTTCTGCTATTTAATAAATAAATCAGCCACGTCAAAGAGGTGCTTTTTAGGTGACTCTCTTGTATTCTAAACTTGGATGTGAATAGAGCCCAATATGCCATTTCAGGCCTACCTGACTCGGCACCAAATGATCCCGAATTCACCTGTAGATACCACACTACCAGCTTTCAAGGTGTGCGTCAGTTTGCATTTCACAGTATCATACCCTGGAACAAATTTTGAGATGAGATGAACTACTTTCAAACCCCACTGAGAATCATCACTATCACATCGCGTATTAGGCAAGAGCAGTGTCGTGTCTGATGCTTTGAAGCGCGTATACGTACTGATACACACCTTGAAAACAGGTATTGTGGCCAGATCTACCGGTGAATTGGGGATCATTCGGTGCTGAGTCTGGTAGTTGGGTAGACCTGCATTTCAAAAAGGGGAAATAGGCATGAAACTTACATAGTCATATTATTGTCTTTTTTGTTCATGGGTTTCATAGGTTCAGGAATTTAGATTGCATATCAGTCCATAATAGACAAGCCATAAATTGACTTATATAGGTTTTAGATTGGATATTATTATGGATTCTCTTATTACTTTTTTTATTAAGAACTGGTTTATATTAAATACTAGGGTGGAGGATCTTCATTGTAAATCAAATCAAATCTAGAATCTTCAGATTATATTTTATTGTTGGCAATAGTATGAACATTACCAAACTTACGAATTTGATTCTGATCAGTGTCATTTTGTAACTATATATGGGAAAAATTGAGGACACATCATCTTATCAAGGCAGTTACAGGGAATTTTTCACACTGGGCATTACACTTACACTTAATTGCACACGAACTGGATTTCACTAATTATTGTTGTCGTTTATCTACAATTTTATATATATTTTATAAATAACTCTTGATTCCTGTTTGTCTTCCAGGATGGAAACATCAGTCACACCCCAGTGATCACTACCTACAAGGCCACAAAAGGCCAGACTCCAGATTACACCACGCTAGCATGGAAGGACAAGGGACAGAACCAAGTGCCAGCGAATAAACTGCCCAATTCTGTCAGGAATATTCAGAGGCTCAGTGAGAGTGTGAAAAATACAGGCAGTGGGGACCATATGAAGTAAGATTCCTTTTTAGCGAGGGTAGAAGGGTTTTGATTTTGAAGTGTTGCTATCCTCTTCTTGAATGTTAACAAAATGCGTAGAGTGCAAACTGGTGTGCCTAGTTGACATTCTGTTCTTCCAGTATCTGTTCACATTTCTACTCATAAGTTCTCTTATTTTGCGCTGCTTAAGCAGCACAAAGATATGAACCTTTACTTTTTCAAGAAATGTCTAATATACGTGATCTTCCTAAAGCAAGTTTGAAATTCAATGAGCTAAATTCACTCGTGCAGATATTTAACGTTATCGTATGTGGTTGGAAATGCTAAGCTAAGTGCACATAAGTACACCGTTGTCATTGTAGTGAAGACAAGATCAGGCTGTTAGAGGATGAAGAGAAGCTGATTATGTCTCAGACACTGCTGCCCTCTACAGATGATTCTAGAACTCTGGCTAAGAAGACGTGGATGTCAACCCCATCTCCCATAGACTTGCCTGCTAATCAGATCCCTAACACAAATCCAGAGGTGAGTGCTATCTGAGCATTTTAAGATTTTTTCCTAAGTCCAAAGGTAAGATGGTAGTGGTAGTTGTAGAAGTAGTCCATATGGTAGTAATTGAAATGCTCTGAACTTCATATTTTAATTTCCCATAAAGCATCATGAAATTCAGTTGCATTTCATTTACTTCTACTACATATTAGCTCTGGTTTTGGTGTGATGATTAAATGTTTAGTGCACACTTTTATTCACAACACAATGTTTGTCCCAGAGGTCTCATTTGAGCATACATTAGGTCAGAATATATAAGGAACAAATGATGAATATCTGCACACATTTGGCCCTACTTTTATATTGATTTTTGTGCACTGAGTAAGATAGGTAGCCTGGCAGTGTTTGCCTCACTAAAGAGCTGTAGGCTGAACATGTTTAGTGCTCATTGTGCATTCACACTGCCCTGTTTAGACTGGGACCAGGCGATGCAAGTGCATTCACATCATGTCATGGATAAAGAACACTATAGAATCTAGATGGCATTCACCACTTGAAAGCTTTTACATGCACATGGGATTGCAGTTACTCCATATGTTAGAAAAATGAACTAAAACACACACACACGCACACACACACACATATATATTGTGAATTTCTGTGACATGTACATGATACTAACTGTACATTTTGTCTCTGCCCAATGCACATACAATATTTGTAAAATAAATTGAACTCAGCTTTATATTTTAATTTCTTTAAATATTTTATGTGAAATATAATTAAATTTTACTTAAAACTACTTCAGTGGTATATATGATCATTGCACATACTACACATTACAAATGACAAAAGCACACTAATAAAACTATAGCTGGGAATAATAGAAATCTGCACTTAGTCTATTGAATGATGTGTCATATATCTGTTGTTTTCAGTTTTTTCATCTGTTTTATGGTATATGTTTATAGCATGATGTATGTGCTATGTATCATTTTGTTATGTTTGCACATTAATGTTTTACTGCAATGTCACTTACTGCATGCATCATGTCCAGTCTGTTATGTTTCCCCTGCATGGTGTCGGGATTTTTTTTTTCAGTCACCAAGAAGTCCAAAGTCATTAGCTCAGGCTTACATGACATTAGACAGCATAGAGATAATAGACACCACTCCTCCTATATTACCACAAAGTACTGTAACCAAACTAACCAGAGATGCAGAGCAGAGTGATCCATCCCTAGAACTTGTTAAGCCTTCTTCTCTGGGTTTGTCCAGAGCAAAACCACCCACCTTAACAAAATTACCTACTCTGTCTGTAAAACCAACTAGTTCTACTAAATCTTCAGGGAGTAGAGACTCTGAAGTAAGTATTAGACTAACATTACTTGTCATTTTTATAGAAGTTAGATGGGCTAGCTCTTTTAGACATGAAAATGGTAATGGTGCATGTTAAGCTGTTGCTTATATAATTTGATATCTATATTGTACGGTGTTGTTGGTATGGGATTTCAGCATTTTTTATACCATAGATGCTTTTGTATGTGCTTATCATTGTCATATTAAAGACAGAATCATTACTATCATTAGTATTTTTATTATAATTTTACATTTTCCATTATATTTTGCATGTGTTGCTATGGGTGTTGTCTGTTTTCTTCTTATAGAATATCCATGTTGTTAAAGTATGGTCTCCAGGTAGTGACACTCCATCTAGTGGCATACCTAATGGCATACCAAAGACCGACCCGGAGGTAAGAATACCATATATATAGCATGCCTCGTATCTACTGTGCTTTTATGTAGCATGATGCCATCTTACTCTTATTGTTACTTGTACAAAGTAATGGCAAGTTGGAAAGGAGTATAACATTTAGATTCATTAGTACATATTTTTATCTGTTAAGAGGTGATGCACTTACAAAGATTCTGTATGGAAATTGGTCATGTTATCATTGCAGCTGAACCCTAACCCACAATGCTGGCCTAAGTCACCACTAAGCATTGCCAGTATCATACGAACTGGTGATCTGTACCATATGGCCACACCTCATGATGAAATGGTTGGATTTTTGTGGATTTTTTTTTCTGTAGATTTCCTATCTGCTTTGTTGCCCAATATTGTCACTCTTCATCTGTAAAGTTCCTGGTCTGGCAGTGAAAGATGTTTGTATGCCAGCATTCAGCACCTCATATGGTAGCAGGGCTGTTTCCTCCCCAGGGAGGTGAGAACTTCAACAGCCAGTTTGCATTGGGGCAAAAAAAAAAAAAAAATGCCAGGCATACTGTAAACCAGACTAAGATGTCATGTTATGAGGCATGTAAGAGCCAGACTTGACTTTACTTCTTTTGTACACCAGGTGCCTGTTCCACAAAAGGACTTTGATTTTTAGGCTTGACCAAACTTCTGAACCCCATTATCCTCAGATTGTCCCATTGTAACTGTTGTTGACAGATTTTGATAGACTATTTAGTACCACCAGCGTGTTCGCTGGCGGTACTCATGGTTTTAGTCCCGACCTGTATCGTATGGCTCCACCGGCTCCGCGGCTCTCTGAGCTCTGCTGGCTCCGCAGGGTGGCGTGGGATACAAGTCACCATTATCACTTCTCCTCCTAGACTGCATGGGCCTGTGTGCCCATCTCTTGGATTTGGGTCACATATAATCTCAACTTGAACCCCCTGTTTTTTTTTGTCTCAGTCTGTGCATTTGCCTGGGCGTGACGCTGGTTGAAATGCACCCTTGTCAAAATGTTTGAAAATTCAATGCTATATATCTCAAACTAGAGGAATTATGGGAAAAATTAGTATAGAAGTCTGACTGAAAGTCATATATGAGGATTCCAAATATGCCCTTGGATTTGACCTTTGACATTTATTTCAAGGTGAAACAGGCCAAAATTTTCTAAAATAGGGAATTTTTTACGAAAAAAAAATTATTTGTGCTGATATTCAGAAACTACACAGACCTAACCTATAATATTATTGGCAGGTGTTACCCTTCAGGTTATCTTTTGTCTCTGTGAGTTTGGGGTCAATCGGTGCATTTTCACGGGAGCAACGGCCATTAAATGCCGAAACATAAAACTCTCTCTAAATTTGGAACCGTTAATGCTAGAGACCTCTTGTTTTTTGCATTTGATAGAGTATGTCAAGCTTACACTGGGGGTGGTCTCCCTTTTTTTGTTTTCCATACAGTTTACAAGTTATGCTGTGTCAAAAAGTACATTGTGGTGGTTAAAGTAAAATGTACAATATGGTAATATGTAAAAAATTTTGAACGTCTGGAAAACATAACATAAGGCTTGGCGAGGCAGACAACTTCTGATCAAGAATGACATTATTTCATGAAATTTGAATATCTGGAACTTCTGAGCACCTCTCATTTCAAGAATTTCAACCAGATGACCTTTTCTTTATTTCAATTATTTTCTTTTGTAGGAAATTTATGGCACATTACGGTAACTCCAAAGCTGTAACATTTAGCCCCTTATATCTCCAAAACTAGAAGAGATAGGTCCAGTTTTGGAGATTTAAAGGCCAGAAAACATGCAAAGTGCAGTTCATCATAAAAAGTGGGTCAAAGGTTACTATTGGACTAGAATAGTAGGCCATATACTGTGACATTGAAATTGACCTTTGGCCTACTTTTTCACCAAGTACTGAACTTTGCATATTTTCCTGCCCCTCATATCTTTAAAACTAGCAGAGATATGCCCAGTGTTGCTCCTAGGTTTTCTCTTTTGTCAGCATATATGCAACACTGACAACACATTGGCCTAATAGGCCTATTGTCTAGAAAATCACAGGAGTGATCAATGTTAGGAAATTACAGGTCAATTCGAAAATCTGCTTGATTGTACCATTTTTTGTTATATTTTTTGGCATTTTTTTTTTTTGCATATTTTGATAACTCTTCTTGATTGCATTTTATAAAGCTTGTCAAGCACAAGACTGGTGGTGGTGTCCCTTTTTTGGGGGGGTTCCATACGGACGCGCTTACTCCAGCTGGTGGTACAATATCCGGAGGTGGTATCACCTCTCTGATCCTCTAGCTAAACCACTGCGATTAAGAATCAGTGTCAAGACAACTCATTTTTGCTGTTAATGTTTTTTTAACTGAAAAATATTGAAAGCAGTAGCCCATAAAAATTTTTGAACAAGGCTCAGCCTGCAAGAATTCTACATATGCTAAGCAAAGAGTAATTTTCAACTGCAATTCTTTTCTGAAACAGGTCTGAGTAAAGTCACATGCACACAGCAATCACAGCTGATTAGTACCCTGTCAAAATGAATGCTCTCTTATTTTTTTATTTTTGGAAGGTTACCCTTCTCATTTTTTCTATTATAAACTCAGATAATTAGATGGTATAATTTTGTTTTGAAGTATTGTATTAGAAGTTATCACATTTCATATTCGAAATCTTAGTTGATAAGCATATACAGTTGTCTAAGCTGTATGAAATAAATGCCAAGTCCTTGTTCACAAATTCCTGGGGTTTTAGAAAATTAGAGAATTAAAGAAGCATTGTCACCTTCTGTGTTCCACCCAAAAAAATTGAAAGAGCCTAAAGGCTAACACAATTACAGTAAGACCATTTATATGTTAACAGGGTACTGATCTAATGCATTTAACATAAATGTGAGTGCCTGTCACAATAATACACATCTCACTCTAGCATTTTTCTATTTTTACCTCTGGTGCAGCCAAGGAGGTCTGAAGGCCCTAGATTTCACTGTCTTCTGACATTTTGAAAACTGGGGCCATTTCCCCCAAAATTCAAATAGGCCCAGACCTTAAGCTTGTTAATGTTATACATTGTTTAGCTCTGTACTGAATATAAAAATGAAGATAGAAGAGCTAGACTACAATTATTAAATTTTATTATTAGTGGAAATGAATGGTGATGTTTATAAACTTTTCCTTTCATTTCCATAGGTATTTATAAAAATTTGAATTTTGACTTTACTTTAAAGAATATTAAAATGCATTTTGGCAATGATAAGAAACTATGCAACATCCTGGAGAACATTTTTATTTCCATTAGAAACTATAAATGATCTTTACAGTAATATCTGAATTGATACAAAAAAAATCATCTTATTTGTAAGTATAGATTTGATGCTAAAGAAAATAAACCAAGGCAAAAATGCATGTTATATTTATTTATGCTAAACAAAATTCTGAAGTTCACATAGTGAAGGTTTATTCAGTGACATTGAATGTGTAAATAAGATCCACATAGTTTTTCTTTCTTATCTAAGATCTTTTAAATTTAATAATTCTGACAACTTGTGAGTAGAAGATAGTTTCATCTTTAGGTTTAAGGCATTGTGAGATATAAATTTGTTGTGAATACTGTTCTATTTGTATAATTAAATATCAGAATAGAGGAAAAAGACTTAAAACCATTAAGTATTTGAATTGGTAAAAAACATTATTGACATATCTGTATGTTGAACATTATCTTCAATTAATATGTCACTGACATAATGAAATAGTAGAGAGAATATGGTCACCATTACATTTATTTCTGAAGTTTATTTGGTCATTTCACAATTGTATTCATGGTATATACCTCTCAGTGTCAAGGCTTTAATTTATTTATTATTATTATTATTAAATTAATTTTTTTTTGGGGGGGGGGTGAGGTCATAAAATAAGACTTGATTTTGTAATTTTTTTTTTTTACTGGAAATTATTAGCTTTAGTTAATTTATTTTTCCCACCCTTTTCAGTTGAGGCGAGCCTACTTCCAGCAACTGGAGGAGATCAGGAGTCTGAAGCAAGAAGTGGGACTGAAGGACAAACGAATCCGTCAGCTTGAAGATGAACTTCGCAAGTGTAAAAGTGAAACTTGCAATGGGCAGTTGGAAGAACAAGTATCTGAAAGTTCATGTTAAAGATGTCTACTTGTAAACTGACCAGTAATGACCAATATGACTGATCAATATAAAGGATCTTTACTGTGCTGGGTGTTTGAAAAACTGCTATGGAAATGCTTTACTGTAACAGCGGTAGTGTGAAATCTTGAGAGAGTATTGCAGTGTGCAAAGTTGTCATTGTTTATTCCTGATGTGTTTAGCCTGTTCATATCATTGTGACAGGAAAGCATAAGGCTAACTGCATGTAAATTGTTCAGCAGGCTTAAGTATTTATGCATATGTCATTGAATAAGGCATAACTCAGCATGAACATAACCACAGTTAAAGTTGGTCGGATTTTGTCAGAACATATCAGCTTGGTTTTGCTAGAAAGGAAATTGTTTTGAGGAAGAAATGTTTTGATCTGATAAGTATGTGAAAGCAAGTTTTTGCTTTTTCTCAGTTGTTCTCATTGGCTATTATATACTTGCAAGGCAGCAAATAGCATTTTTAATTTGGATCAACACAATCTAAACAATTAATTGCCCACTGGTTATCATAACAACAGATAATAATTGTTGAAGTAAAATTTGTGTGATTAAAGATTCAGAGCATTAAGTCTGTGTCATATCACACCCTAAGTTTCAGAGCAATGTACTGAGCATTTGACATAAAGCCACGCCCTGTGTACTGACCATGTGACACAAGCCACACCCTGTGTACTAACCATGTGACATAAAGCCACACCCTACAGACCATGTGACACAAACCCCTACCATTTGCTCTTACAGCATGACTAAACCATCATCCATTTATTTTACTAAGGGGGTGGGGCAAGGATTAGCTTTTTTGCCTCATTTCACTCAGCATCCTTGCATATATATAAAATAATGAAGCACACTCGTGAAATACATTTCTCGTTTCAAGCCATTTTAGAAGGGAATTAGGGAAATTTTCAAAGCTGGAAGGCATATTCCAGCTGTGCCCCAGCAGTGCTGCTCCGTAAAAAAAAAGACCTTCCCTGTAGTGGACGGAAATGATGCATGTTTGATCATTTTTCACAGTTCTTACTGGCTGCCTTAAATAGAAAAGGTGATTTTGCTGTTAACTCTGAAACAAAACTGTCCCCAGAGAGCTGTCCAGCCATCATTTGGATGGCCAATTGGCCTCCAAAGACAGCTGGACAGTTTACTATATTTTTGGGGCAATGAATAGTTGGTTTGTCTTGGTTGGATAGGACTCCCTGTAAATTGATGACAAAATTACAGATTCACATTTTGCACTCCCTGTACACTAAATTCCTGGGGAAACCCTTGCTCTGAAACTTGGGTTACTTTTTTCAACAATATAGATCATTATGGGTATTATTATACCATGTCTTGCCTATTTATTAATTTGAATCAGGGTAACACTTATTTAATTTATTTAATTTTACAAAACTATGGTATAGGCTGTAGTGGATCGTTAAATTCTCATGATTGCTACATTAGAAAGTGCCTAGTCTTTACCAAATTTTGAAAAACTTTTCATCATATTAGATCTGTTGTAGACACCAGTTGTAAACAGATGTGTCTAGCTTTAATGTGTTCAATATTTTTAATATTTAGATTATTTTAACATATACATTTTAAAGTGAATCTTTTGTTAGAGATGTGCACTCCTTAATTTTTTTTTTTTTTTTGCAATTGCTTTGAAAAAGGGAAAATATGACAGATCATATATATTTATATGAATACATATTTAATAATAACTAAAGATAACATATAAAAAGATCACAAGTGATAATTTTAAGCCAGGCTGTTAAAATATAGTGATGTGTAAATCTCAACTGGACAGTACAAAAAAAAAAAGGTAGAGAAATCTTTAAAGTCACATTAACTAGTTCAGTGTTGCCCTCTCTGAGGAAATAGAATTATTTGGATAATAGTATTTAATACTTCAGGTACAATAAAGTCAATTATCTTGCCTTTAAAATACCACTTAAATTAGTTTACATCATGATGTCATGTCAGATTCAAAATCTTACCAGCGTCCTTTAAAAGGGTGTATCATTTAAAATACATATATTGACAGAGAATAGTTTATTTACATTTTAACAATTTTTAGTTGTCATCAGTGTTTTTTCAGTCAATGTTATCTGAAATGTTGGATCTCAAATTTGTCAGTAATATATAAGCTAGTATTACAATTTTGTCAGTATCATTTTGCAGCAACAGAATCTGTCAAGCCTTTTCCTAAAATATTGATACAAATATTTATATGGGGAGTTATGTAATTATGTACAGTAAATGTCTTGCCTATTTGTTCATCTGTAAGAGGCTTGGCTTATGTCAATTTATTTATATATATGAACTTTGGATAATAAGATATTAGGGTAAAAATCACTGTTCATCCTTGACTTATTACTAGTCAACATGCAAGTAGTTCTTTCATTCAGAAATTGTCAGGTTATTTACATCTCATAATTATGTCAAACTGAGTTTTTTCCTCTATAACTAAGAAAACCATCAAGGGGTTGTTCACAGCCATTCACTATTTAAATGTCAAACCCAACTTGCTCAAATGTATCACCAGGTGTAGTTTGTAGGTGATAGCATGGCCTACTTAGTAAAATAAAGGAACAAGGGGGTAGTCCGTTTTCACACACGGATTCAATTTAGAAACTTTGAGGAAGGTAATTTAGCAAATCTGACATAGTAGTGGTGGCATTCAGGTTTTGTCAAACTTGCTGTGTCAGGTATTTAAAGATTACATCAAAATTTGCAATTTTTTTGTCCAATGCAAAAGATGAAAAGTAACCCAATTGCAGTGTACCAAGTAAAATAAAATTTTCTTTGCTTTATTTTGCATTTTCTTTTCACTTGCAAGGTTTTGACTGTTGTAAAGCTCGAAATAAACATAAAACCTCAATACACAAACCTACAAAACTTAATTGCTTTTTATCGTATTTACAAGACATAATAGCAAAGTTCAATTCATGTTTATAAAAAATTTATTGCAACAAAGAACAGACAAAAGTACATTGGAATGACCAAATCTGTACAACTTAAATGTAACAGATTGTAAAATATAATGAATTGAAAGGTTACATCAGCTATAACAATAATCGTTTGACGCTGGGCTGAATTAAAAAATGAGTGAGAAAAGGTTTGTCTGTTCCTAGGGCAATATTATATATACTGTACAAAAATGCTAGTTCACTTTCTCAGGTCTGAGAAAACATCTACAAAATTATACAAATATCAAGACAAGTCAAAACATTCTGACAGGAGATGGAGACCTAAACACTTCTGTGTAAGAATATAGGCATCTTTACACAATTCAACAATATTACCTGTCTGTTTTGTTGAAGATATTGACACTAATGTCAGTAACAATGACAGATGAATGACAGTAACAATGCGAAGACTATGCTACAATGTACAAATACTTCTGTCTTTCAATCTGATTCAGGACACGATGATTGTTCTATAATTTGTCACCTCCCTTAAATGTTCTTGCTGTTGATTGAAATATCACTAAAAACACCACAGCAGATTGCAAGCTAAATTTTGCAAACGCTGGAGACTGGTCCAGGTCAGAATTGATTTTATTTCCTGCTGCCTCTACTCTTCTGCGCTACTGTGTGCCACATGCACAGAGTGCCTCGATACCTATCATACCATGCAACATTCTTTTAAAAAGTTTTCTCTTTAATCATCCTCGTCTTCCTCTTCTTCCTCCTCGTCTTCTTCATCCAATTTTCTCTTTGTCCCCCTTGGTGCTTCGTCTTAAAAAGGATTTATCAGTGTCAAATCAACATTTATCTGTATTCAAATCTTATTCATTCAAAGCATTTTCTTTGTCTCACTACCACAAAATCATGAAAAGTCTCTTTAACAACCTTTTTACTTTTTTACCATTCAAA